GGGGGGGGAGAGAGAGAGAGGGAGTCGTGAAAATCCGGTTATCAACCCTGCTATTGCTTGATATGTTGTTTCTTTCGCTAGTCATCAATATGAGCGGAGAAAAATAGTCCTAAGGCCGAGGAGAGATGAACAATAGTCAATACATTCAAGTGTTCCTTGGTTTGCGGGAAAGATTCAAACGGGGAAAAGTCTGAAGAAAAATTGACCGTCACCACCAGGGACCCTCGCTTGTAGCCAGCGATGCTCTAACCACTGAGCTAGAACATGTACAAGATATTTTCTTGACTTGTCTGAGCCAGGTAGGTCTGTTCGCTGCGTTGGAGCATGCAACACCTGCAGGTACCGTAGAGATCGGCTATAGTAACGTATACTGTAGTTGGTGTTCGAAAACGTGTGATTTGATCACTAGTCTGGACTATAGCCGATCTCTACCTGTCCTCTCTGGCACTTGAACAACAATCAACAAGCGTGCGAGGAAGAAAGTGCTGACCAGAACTTCAAACGATCTACCGCAGTAGTGGGCATAGGCACCGATCCCGTAGGCGTAGGTGCTATTCGCTAAGTCACAGACTATGGCCCTATTTCTCGTTTGCTATTTTCAACACCACCCTTCCACTCATCGATCACAAGGAAGTACAAGTAAGCAGTAGTTGACACCAACCTGGTCCTGGGACCTCCAACACTTTTCTGTTTTCTTCTTTTTCGTCATTGACCCCAAACTGCACAACAACGCCGAGTGTCTCACACTCACAGACTCACACGTGCCCCGTCTTGGTACGCGAATGGTCGCAGGTCGACCCCTGTCACCATGGTCACGAGGCGAGGAATGCGACCATGCACAAGCGAGACATTCTCGCCAGGATCTAGCCTAGCGCCTAGGAGTGAAAGATCTGACCGCCCAAAATAAATGAAGCCAGAGATCTGGAGAGTAGAGCCAGGCAAGATTTGAAACCACGTCAGTAGAGAAAGAGAGCCATCCAGACTCGGACGAAGAGACTTTCCTTTCAAGTCTTTTTTTTCATGTCCAGCGTCACCTGGTCACAGCGAACGAAACACTAGTCTTGTCCGCCGTCTTGTTTCTCCTCTTCAGTCCACCCGTAACACCTTTAGTTCGCCGCGTCGTCCACCCGAATAGCTCGAGGACGTTTGTATCAAGGCAGCAGCTAGTGTCAGGTGCTGTTCGGAGGTTCTTTGAGGCGCTCCCCTTATTTGCGCTCAGACATTTGCCAGAGCAATAAAGCCAAGATACGTCGTCGTTGCTTGGAAATGGGCAGTATGCTCAATGACGGAGAAACCACTCAGCATTCCGCTATAGTGCCCGCTTGACCTGACACCGGCGCAGTAGAAACGAAACACACATTTTTCAAAACTAGCGACGGTGCACAAGCGGCAACTACGACAGCAGCGCAAGGACCAGCAACGGTGACAGACGCACTTGGTGTTCGGTATGGCAGCAAAGCACCGCACCACACCGACGTTCGGTCTATCCAGCGCGCACAACAGCATGTCGGTGGGAAGCAAGGCACATTTCAGCGCTTGGACACCAGTGAACCATATGCCCAGTAATGAACAGGTACGTCACCCACTATGTTACAGACACTCAGTGTTGTGAATAATGAGATACAGTCAACTTCGCTTATAACAACACTCGGCAGGGCATCAGAAAAGTGTCCTTATTAGCGAAGTGTCGTTATACCCGAAGTCTCATTGTATGTACTACAGTTGGATGGGACTTTGCTCTGGGCATGGAAATTCTGTCGTTATTCGCGAATTGTCGTTATATCCGCAGTCGTTATTAGTGAAGTTGACTGTACCCATTGTACAGACAGGACCGCACCAACCATTTCAGTATCTGCTCCTGAGGCAGGTCAGCTGGGTAGATAGTGCCAGCCTGGTCAGCTGGGTTGCTGACCAGGTTGCCCTGCGTGGGTTGGTCTGAATCCTAGAACAGACAGTGTGTTGCCCCTGTAAAGTTTTACTTTAGAACCTCCCCGAGGCCATTAGCCTTCTTAGAGTACTACTACTAGTAACCTGGAGGAAGGTGCACGAAAAGAAAACTTGAATTGATTATCCAGTCCTCGTTCATCCCGTTTTCTGGGCAACTTGGTTGAATGGATCATATTTTCAGGTAGTTAAAAAGGGAAACAATCTGAAGACAAAATTGACTGTCTCCACCAGGACTCGAACCAGGGACCTTCGCTTGAGGCCAGCAATGCTCTAATCACAGAGTATATATCTAACTACTAGACTAATTATCGTATCCGTTCCCGAAGGGAACTCACGACGGCCGCTAACACCCGATAAACCCTAGCGGCAGATGCAGCGCCTAACGGTGGGGGTGAGTGGGCAAGTCTCACAACCACTGGCACAAGTGCCGAAAACGACCCCATTAGCTGCATCCATGTACCCCTTGTGCCTGGCCACAAGTTCCCAGTTGACTGTGGGTAGCAGCACGGCTGGAAAAACCGCTCCCAGGCAGGACTTGAACCAGGTACCTCTCGTATCTCAATCATGGTCTTTGACCAACCCACTGTGCCTGCCTGACTACTAGACTAGAGTAGACAAACAAACACACACGACCCCAACACACATACACACATAGCCCCAAGCACACACCACACGCACACACCACACGCACACACCACACGCACACACACACGCACACACACACACACACACACACACACACACACACACACACACACACACACACACACCAAGTCACGACCGGACCACATCTTGAGAACTCATTCGGACCAAGACGTCAAGAAGAAGCAATATAATTCGCACCGGTAACCTGGTGGGCAGAAAACCGTGTCGACTGTTTTTTTAGGCAGTGACGGTGAAGGAGAAAAGGAAATGAAAGTGACTGCTACTGTGGGCCAATGCCTGAGTTTGAGCGAAAACATGGTGCAGCTTCCAATGTCAGTTCCGTGAAGTCTGAAAGCTCTTCGAGCTTGGGATGTGAAGAAGAGGCCATCTCTCACTGTAGTGCAATTGTGGACGAGACGATTGTAGTGAAGTTGTGGACGAGAGCAGCTCGCAGTGTTGTGGCGTTGTGCAGTGAAATAATAGCTCCGTGCGGCGTCGACAGATAAACTAACTGCAACGCGAGGCAGCACAAGCCAGTAGACTAGAGAAAAGACAAACGAAGGCTCGAGTTGGCCCGTGAACATTCACCCCCGGCCCGTTAGAAGGCAGTGTGGCGAGTTGAAACCTAGATTTTAAGGGTACCCAACTATCCTCGCAGGGACTTTTAAAGCAACGGCCAATCACGCCAAGACTTCTCCCGTCACCTCAGTCCGATAATGTAGCCAATTCTTGAATTATCAAACGACTACCTTGCCCTTCTGGCAACAGTTCCACGGCTTCAGCTGATGCGTGAGTTACACGTGGTGAAAGGCCCATATTGGCATTATTTCTCAGTTGGCACTGCCCTTCCCTACCGTAGTATAGCCCAAAACCCATGCGGAAACGTCCAAGCTGCTTGCAACAGCTCCTCTTGCCCCAACCTTTGCTGTGTGGGCCTCGGCTACTCAGCCATTCTTCATGCACTCCTCAGTGTTTGAGGAGTTTCGCTGACATAGTCATTGCCACATTGGCACTCCATTGAATGTGCTGGATCACGCGACATCGGGTGCAGTCAGGTGCTCCTGCTTTTCAGGCCTCGCAGGCTGCTTTTGGTCTGCCTCTCCTCTTTGGCTGCGCTGGAGCCACAAACGTTCTGCACTGTCTCTGTACAATTCGGTCAACCCTACTCCAGGGCCAGTCCGCCCAGCAAGCAGATATTGCCAGTTCACCTATAATGATTTCTCTGGTACCTTGAATTACCGCCTCCCCCCGCCCAGGCCAGCACGTAATATCTTTCAAATAAACCCAGGATGCATTTCTAGATACAGACAGGAGGAAGAACACCGCAGAAAATAACAATACCGGCGTGGCTTGTTAAATTTAGGACTGTTTTTGTGCCATTGTTGACCAGCGCGCAAATGTATGTTGTGTGAATGTGTGTTGCTGTGTCCTTCTTACGCACATACGTCTGTCGAATGTATTGCCCTGTTCTGGCGACCCCGACGGTGATTCGCTGTCACCTGGCCACTGGATTCACCACCGGCCATTCTTCAGCTTTATCAAGAACGCCGAGCCTTAATCGGTCACTGGGTAAGAATTTGCTGTTATCATAACAATAAGACTTAATTATAATAAAGGTAGAGCCGAATGATTTATTGCAATTTCATACCAGTATAAAAACCGAGGTCACCCGAGGTTCCGCATGTTAACGGCTAGCGAGAGTTCTGCTATACTTGGCACAGCTGTGGAGTTGAAAACTCCTCTTCGATCGGCAGCACCTGCCACATGCACTGCAATGAGCCTGTCAGCAGGATAGTGAGAGCTGAATCCTCGCCGGCAGCGGTACGAGTAGATGATGAAGGGCCCACCGCTGGGCACGTAGAGCGATCATCGGGTAGACACTTATGGACGGGGAGGCCTCCGGCGCTCCTGGATCACTGCTGACACTGGGGTATTTCCTGCTCCCAAACACACACACACACGCATATAGAAGTGAGCTATATATTTGTACTATTCTGGAACGTAGACCTATCTTCTTTGTCTCTCTCCGTCACTCTCCACCTTTCTCTCCTCTCTAACCTCGCTCTCTCTGCTCTCATTCCTTATGCTGTCATTCTGGCTTTGTACAGTATGACATGTGGACACACGGACAGCGCCAGGAGTTTCTCAAGTTCGTCCTGGGTCGCAGCACTGCACGACAGCAACGCTATGCGTTTGACCTGCTGGACGTCGCTGTGCCGCCGGAACGCCAGGATTTCGTCAGCGTGCTGCCTCGCAACTTGACTCTCTACATCTTCTCGTTCCTGGACGCCAGGAGTCTATGTCGTGCCGCTGTCGTCAACTGGCACTGGCATTTTCTGGCTGAACAGGATTCGCTGTGGCAGCCAAAGTGTACACGCTATGGCTGGTAAATAGCAATAGAGTAGAACTGAAAAGAAAAAAAAGTCAATCTGTGCATTTGATTAAGTTAACTGGCTGTCAGCACCCTGTCGTTGTAGGCAGAGCCGTCAGACCATGTCAGGATTTCGGCCCTTGGCCTGACTAGCTCTCTGCACAGGCCATCCTTGCCCAATCTATGCACTTGCAGTAGTGCATATTGATATCCGATAACGTGAATCAAGTTTGCGCTCTGCGCCAATTTACATCCAGTATTTGCAGGTCTACAGTGCTGCACATTGTCCTGTACTGGATCCACTTGCTTAATCAAACTTTATTGAGCAGCACTTTACTAATCACTTTCCAAATACACAGCTGAAGTCATCACTGTGTCTTGTTTCATTCTGGAAACTGCTTTAATGTCTTCTGACGGCATGGCTACTAGCTCCTTCATGACACTAAGGATCTAGTAGCCAAGCTGTAAGAAGAGGGCATCAGTTTGGTAGGGATGAGCTATGTGCTCTTGCTGATGGAGTAGCATTATGTGTCGACTTGTGTGCCTATTTTGGTGCGTAGGTTTCTGCCGTACACGCCAGGAGACAAGGAGTATGGTGCTTGGAAACGTCATTACGTTGCCTGCCTAAACACACTGGACAGAAGTGCACCGAACAAACAGGCAAGCTGTGCGGGTGTGTGTGTTTGTGTGTATGCGCATGCATGTGCGTGTGTGCATGTACATGTGTGCACGGATGTGCACTTGCGTGTGAACCTTTCTGTGTATGCATGACGGCTTTCAAGTTCCTTTTTGAGGTATCAAATTGATCCTGCAAAGTGTTTTATCATTTGTCTGTCTGCTTGTCTACGTGTCTTTCCTTTGGCCTGTCTGTCTCTGTTGTCTTCCTCCTTTTGTCACAGTTGTCACCACAAACTATATCCTGATGGGACATTGTGACTGTTTGTGTGTGTGTGTGTGTGTGTGTGTGTGTGTGTGTACGTGTGTGTGTGTGTGTGTACGTGTGTGTGTGTGTACGTGTGTGTGTGTACGTGTGTGTGTGTGTGTGTGTGTGTGTGTGTGTGTGTGTGTGTGTGTGCGTGTGTCCACCTATCTGTTCTCTTACCTCAAGCATAGATAGCCCTGCTGTATTCAACTCTAGGTGGACTGCCGGCAGCCAGCACTGCTGAGCATGCAACGAAAACACCGGGAAAGAAAAAGCAACATAAGGAAAGGTCATCCTCCAGTCCATCAAAGTCTCTTGGGCCAACAGGTAAATGCGTATGTAGTGATTATAGCCCCTTGGGGGTTTCTCGCTGGAGTGGATGCTATTTCTCTCCGTTGCACAGCTCTTTGGGCTGATCATGCTGCCGTTATCTGGTTGCTGCTGGGATTGTCTTTGCAGCTTGATGTGATGGTGTTGCTGGGATGGATGTTGCAGCTTGACGTGTGGTTGCCAGGGGCAATTGTAATGCATGCGTTGTGGCTTATGTGACTGGCTCCAGTGACTGGCTGCAGTGACTGGCTACAGTGACGGTGACTGGCTGCAGTGACGGTGACTGGCTGCAGTGACTGGGTATTGTGACTGGCTACAGTGACTGTGACTTGCTACGGTGACTGGCTATGGTGACTTGCTACGGTGATTGCTACGGTGACTGGCTACGGTGACTGGCTAATGTGACAGTGACAGGCTAATGTGAATGGCTACTGTGGCTGGCTACGGTGACTGTGACTGGCTACAGCACTCTATAAAATTCTTTGGAACTCTTCTGTCACCCACAATGGGCATACTGCTAAGTAACAGTTTCCAGCCTTTCTTCCATAACTCATGCAAGTACATTTCTCCTGTTTTTCTCATCTTTTCACCTGTGTCTGTGCATTCTTTATCCATAGCGCTGGCAACCTATCGCAATCGCCCGTGGCTCGACCCTGATCCCAAACCTCATGATCTGGAGAAGGGCTGGAAGGCAATGCAGTTGTCTGGTGCCATACCACCAGGTCAAAGCCGGGGTATGCATCACAGCACCTTCTCGGCCGTCTCCAAGACCTACTCCCTGGCCAGTGCTGCTACCCTTGCTGGAACGGCTGCACTGGATGGTGTCCAGGGTGCACAAGATGATGAAGACATGGTGCGTTTGATTGGGAGGTTTTTCTATTCCGTGACAACAAATCTGAATGCGGCTTACGCTCTAGTGCGGTTTAAAATACGGTACCTCTATTATATGCCTGTCTATCTACTAGTCTACTGGTCTCTCTGGCTGTCGACTCGGTCAGCCAATCTCCATTTGCTCTAAATACCCTCTCTTGTTGCTTCATGTCTCAGTTCTCCAGTCTGCATTCATTTCTTCGACCCTGACTGGCATGGTCTGCTTGATGCTTCTAAAATTTTGTGAGCATTCTCAAACAGTAGTGGTCCAACCACGTTCTTCTTTTGCCGTTCGTTGCCTGTCTTAACTTGTACCACACAGATGTTATCAAGTTCGTCTGGAGCTGGGGGTGAGGCATCCCGCAGCACTCTCGTTACCCTCACCGATGTCCTGAGACAGCAAGGTAAATACTGTCGGTTTGTGTGTCCTGATGATGTGCCTGCGGACCTGTTCCTAGTGGATGAAAAACACTTGTCTCTTTGAAATGAATACAGTCAGACCTCGCTTAACCGCACACATCCGTTTTCCTAAAAAAATATGCGGATAGGCGAGGGAACCGGATAATCAAACACACATACTGTATGTATTCAACTATGCATGCCTTGCGCTGCGAATCGGTAACCAAAGATTTTCTTCCGGACGGCGAGGGATCCGGATATAAGAGGACCGGATAAGCGAGGTCTGACTGTACTAGTATACGAAAGGCACTTGAAAGTTGGGAAAATATGGCTCGAGTGTCTTGTGTTGTGTGCATCTTCATAGCATTTCTGAAGTCGGTTCTCTGGGTAAACGTTCTATACCGTTGCTGGGGAATGAAGTAGTGAAGTATTGGAAGATGTTCATGCGTGTGTGTGTGTGTGTGTGTGTGTGTGTGTGTGTGTGTGCGTGCATGCGTGTGTATTTGCAGCTAGTGGGGCGTACGATTCCGTGGCACTTGCCAAAACATGGCCCGTCTACACTGGACCTCGGGAGAGCTCTGGGTAAGATGGTTTCCAGCGAATGCTAATGACTAGTATCAAGCCAATATTGGTGGTGAGCCGGTACCGCATCTCCGAGCCATTCCTGCTCGCTTATGATCACTCACTATCACCCTGTCACTATCCTTCCAGCCCCCCCCCCCCCCCTCCAAACCATCTCCTGCTCTTCTAGAGCTTCTTGTGCACAATATCCACACATCTTCTTTTATCCGCAGATGAAACATATCAAGCATGCAGTCCTAGTGTCATTGAAAGTGTCCTCTTTCTTGTGTGGTGATTTTCTCATTCAGTTTTGATGGCACAGCATCCGGCTCTATGTCCTTCTACAGTCATTACAAGCATGACATGAGAGCCCTGGTGCAGGTGAGAGTGAGAGAGAGAGAGAGAGAGAGAGAGAGAGAGAGAGAGTGATGTGTGTGTGTGTGTGAGTGTGTGAGTGTGTGTGTGTGTGTGTGTGTGTGTGTGTGTGTGTGTGTGTGTGTGTGTATGTGTGTTGGCGTGTGTGTGCAGGGGATGGGGGGGGGGGGGCTTTATGCACGTGTGTGCGTTTGTGGCGTGACTCAATATTAAGCCTGTAAAGTAACGTATCGAGCACCTGTCTCTCGGCTATGATCCAAATGTACTTATTTTTTGCTCACTATTTGTTTGATCAAGCCCTGGCGAACTGCTTTACAAAATGTAGTAAGCAGGCTCTTCAGCATTTTTCGAATCTTTATCCTGCCCATTGGCGATGAGAGAGTTCACCAGTCCATCCCCAGGTGGTCAATTATTATGTTCAAGTTGTCTTCAATGTTCTGGATATCTTATGCATGCCAACTTCATGACTGTGTGTATCCTCCTGCATCTGTTTTTGCTACAGAGATATCCATCTCACTCTCATCCATCCATCATTCTCATATCGTCACAAATCCCTGCAACCGAGGTAAGTGTGGACACAGTGTAAGCAATGGCAAAAATAAAATTCAGGGCGAGAGGACAGTGTCGATGTCCCTATCGCATCAGAGTCGGCTTCCAGGTTTTAAACTGGGCTTGTGGGCAGCCACCATGTTTGCCTATAAGAACTAAATGGATTCTTCAACAGCCTACAAGTATAGCCTACACGTATAGTTGTAATTTTCCTGACTGTGAATTTCCACCTTGATCAGAGTTACTCAATGTACAGTGCTGCCCAATGAAACCTGATTATGCCAGTCTATGCCAGTCTATGCCAGTCTATGCCAGTCTATGCCACCCCGGGTGCTATGCAGCCCTAGACCTGTGAACACAGGGCTGTGAACTGGTGACTTGGCTCGTGCGATCGTATTTCTTTGAGCTGCTCTATACATCGTTTCGTACCGGAGTACTCCATTCTCTGCCATGTTCTGCTCTGCGCTGTTCCTGTTGTAGTTGCTGCTGGAGGGATTGATATTTGGAGTTCTGCCTCTCATCTACGACTACGACAGTAGTACTATTGAGTCACTGGTGGAACGCCTGGACTGGTTGCTGGCTGGACGACAAGCTCGGTAAGACCTGGACAAAGGGATGTAGCTGGTCCCCCCCCCCTTTCGGGGGGGGGGGGGGGAGGTGCATGGCAGCATATCTGTATGATGACCGGTGCATGTCATTCTTGGTAATTATGTGCATGTTGAACCTACAAAGTAGGTCGAAATGTTTAGGGGGTGCAAGTGCTCCCCCCCCCCCCCCCCCCACCCCCACCCCACGTGGGCTAAGCGCCTGTGGACAAAATATTCTTCTTTCTAGCAGCCATTGTATACAGGGCTCACAGCACAAATCATATGAGGCAAGCGAAGATTGTTTTCAGACGTGTCTGACCCCTTTCCTTCTTTCTAAACTGGCTCAGCAGGGAGTTATTGAACTTCTCTAATTCGAACACCAAATATTCGAGCCTGGTCCATCATCAGTGTCTACTGTAAGACCAGATATTTTAACGTCAATTAAAGTTAATGATCTCTGGATTTTTGTGGGCTAGGGAGATGAAATTCCAACGAATCCTGTCTCAAAACCAGCAAATGACTGTACATAAATTATACGTATCATTGTGCACATAGCGACTTCAAATATCAACGAATTTTATAAATTCGTTAAATCGTTATAATTAAATGAAACGGTAGTTTAGAGGCGGTGAAAAAAACAGGTTCGTAACCAGTATTCGCATACAACGACGCAAATCCACACAATTCGGTAGACACTTCCTTTCTATCAACGTTTTCTTTCCCTTCTCTTCAGGATAGAACAGGGAATGTTGTAAATTTGAGAAAAAACCACATAACTATAATTATAGAGAAAGAAAGAAAAAGTCAACACTTCAACATAGGCAATAAAGTGATTAAAGTGTTAAAAACTCAAACAAACAGCTGCAAGTTGTAGACAAACACGTTGAGCACATCAGGGAACATGTGTCGCACTCCCACGAGGTGTGACAACAAACAACTGCAACGATAACACATTCCCCTTCTGTACACATAGTTCTGGATCTAGTTTACGAATATACAGAGCTTCTAACACAGCAAGATGTAACTTAGACCTTCCACGAGTCAAAATCGAAAAGATATCATCACTATACAACTTACGATAACTAGCACTGCCTGACAAATGACGCTTGATGGCCGATGTCCGATCACTTAGCTCTGTCACCTTCGACGCCTGCCGTTGTTCTCTTCCGTTAGGCTTGTTTGTTTGGTTGCTCCGGTCGACACCTCCAAAGTCTGTTGATTTCATGGCCGTCCATTTCACTTCTTGGTCTTCCTCGTTTCCTCTTGTTGATCGTTGTTGTCACTTCCAGTATCGACGTATTCAAATCCCCAGTACTCCGTCTCTTCACCTTGCTTCTGGTAACTCTTCCGGTGTCTGTGAGCTCCAGTGTCACATTGGGTGGTTTTCGAGACGGTCTCCCTCGCTTCCTCACACTAGTCTGAGATAAGCCAAGCTCCCCACCCGTCGAGGCGGAGGCGCGCATGCGTACATCTACACTGGACGCAGACAAAGGCGTTCCAGTATCGGACTGCACAGTACATTTTGGAGGACGGCCACGACGAGGACGAGTAACACGAGTGTCGACAGAGACAAGACCTAGCGGCACATGTTGACGGATGCGTGCGTCCAGGTGCTGAAGAGTTCTACCTACGTACCGATTTTCACATTCTCGGCACTGAAAAAAAAGATAAGGTTGCTTCTACTAAGCGTAGGTAGAACGTCCTTCTTCACACTGAACACGCGCGTCGTTCCAAATACTACATGCAATTTCATGCACGGGTAAGACGAACAGACAAAGCTGCGCACCTCCTTCTCGACGCTCGTAGAACCAGCACCCACCCAGGGTAAGCGGAGTACCACGGGGCACCTGTCCGGTCCAAATGGTTTCGGACAAAATTGGTGAGCCGCCTCAGTTCTTCTTGAAGAAGGTGAGGAGAGCAGATTCGATGGGCACGATAGACTAGTGCTTTGACAAGGTGAACTATGGATTTAGTTGGTGTGTAGCTTCCCCATGGAATATACAAGCCAGTAAAGGTGGGTTTTCTGTAAACCGTAAACTCTTGGTGTCGCTGTTGCGGGTAATATTAACATCTAAGAAGGATATCACACCGTCCCGTTCACCTTCTGCAGTGAATTTTAATGCAGGATGTAGTCCGTTTAGGGTTGTTAAAAAGTTCTCGCAGGTTTCTTTGTCCTCGTCGTGACAAAAAATCTTCTACAAAACGGTAGTACACCGAAGGCCATAGCGATGGGGGAATGGATGACTCGCAGAATCCAACGAATACGTTTGCTAATACTGGACCAAGTGGAGATCTCATCGCAACTCCATCCAACTGTTTATACATGACATTGGAAAACTCATCAACATGAGTTTGACAAATTCGCTCCCATTCAAATTTGGTGGAGTCCCGGACTTGTTATGGTACAACGCTGCTGCTCGAATATCAATGGTTTCACGCAATGGAACATTGGTGAACAAACTGACGACATCGTACGAGCACACGTAACCACAAGACTCAAACTTCGATTTCCTGATCTTATCTACGAACTCGAATGTGTCCTTGACGCAATGGTTATTGTAAAGGGCGAGCACAGTCTGCAGCATTGCGCACAACCACTTGGACATCTTAAATTGTGGAGAAACGGACATGCTTAGTATCGGTCGTAGTGGGATATTCTTTTTGTGAATTTTTGGCAGGCCATACATCCGTGGCCGAGTGGATCCCGTTGGTGCTAGCCAGTCATGTTCATATTGAGTAATCTGAGATCTAGATAGAAAAAGTAGGTATTTAATTTCGTATCTATGTTTGCAGTGTGATCATAACCATCGCACGGGCCGAGTCTACAGAACTTAGCGGTGTCATTGAGTATGAGCATCATCTTCGCTCTATACTCCACTGCCGACATGATCACCGTTGCCCGGCCCTTGTCAAGGCGATATATCACGATTTCAGGGTTCTTCCTAAGTTCTTTGAGAACTTTTATATGTTCCCGCATCAGTGAAAAGAATCAAAGAATCGTGTATCTGGCGGAGACTGGGCAAGCCGGAATGCCTCGGCAGGTTGCCGCCGCCATGTCCGATTTCGCGGGAACAGTGGACAGCTGTTGTTGAAGAAGTTCAAATTCAGCCAAAATATCAGTCTGGTTGAATTTGGGAGGGATACCGAAATCCTGTCCACCACATAGAACATCTTTCTGTAGTTGACTGAGCGTGATACCGGCAAGATTAATGATTGTGTCATAGTCGTCGCTGCAGGCTCCAAACCTATCTCTTCTCAACGCTGAAACTAGGTTAGTTTGCTTCGTGTCATGTTTGGATCGTTGCTTGCGATCACATTGGGAGAACATCTGATAATGCCAAAGACATTGAGAAGCCGGCGAATATTTTGATACGAGGAAACAAACTTTGATCGTACATTCTGCAGGTGACCCTTAGCCTTGTTTAGGTATCTCCGAGGAGGACCTTTTCAATTGATATATCATATAGCTTCAATTTCTGGACCCGCTGCTGAAGGTACTTCGGTGCCACCGAATAATGGAGACACTCACGGAGTAGTCTTACATGGAAAATAGCGGTGTTTAGTCGTCCCCTAAGGGAAAGAAAAGCAATACAGTCACTGGGGAGACGTAGCTTAACGTAGTTGAAGCAATGCCGTGACGACAGAAAACACAGCAGAGCGGTATTGGTGGTGGTATGCATATATGGGGGACAAGGTCAACCCCACGAATCTCACCCCGTGAAGCCCACGAATGGAACCCCAGAGCCTCACGTGTTGACCCTCTGCTTATGGATGCAGTGGGGCGGTATAACAACAGCCGCTATGACTGCATGTGTGATACTGATAGAGCTTCAGCAGGAGATGTGGCACTGCGGCATGCACGTGTTTTGTAGAGTGTCTGCGAAGGAAATTAAATGTTCGTTAAAATTACTGGTCTTACAGTACAATCAAGCTGCAGGTGACTGCTCTTCTGTGCATGGTGAAGATGAATTATTGTGCTTTTTACGGTGTGGTGTGGTGTGGCGTGGCATGGTGTGGCGTGGTGTGGTGTGGTGTAGTGTGGTGTGGTATGATCTGATATAATGGGGTATTGTTCCTTTTTATTCCTCACCTACTCAGCGGTATTGGACTGTTTCTAGAAGCATCTGAAGGAGAACTGCAGATTGTGTCTGGTGAGTGCTCCGTACTCGTATGGAATGTACGAGGCTGGTGGAGTTCCAGGGGCGATGGAACCGGTGTGGCCCAATTTTCCATTTTTGTTTCCCCGGGGGAGGGCCCCAACCCCGACCCCAACCCCCACCTCTTCATAGCCAAACCAATGGCGAATACCTTCCGACGCACCCGAGTTCCCGTTCCAGTGGAACACATGGGAAAGGTGCTAACGTGAGGCCAATTAAACTTTGTAAGTTGTGCGAGTCATCAAGTGAATCAATTGAATACCGCTGCCTATGGATTTCGTCATCTGGGACCTGTATGTACATCCTGGTATGACCAATTTGACACAGCCAAGGGATTTGTTTGGGCTGTACTGAGAAGCACATGAATGCACTTGTACAGCTCGGTGGCCGAACTGAATGTTCGTGTGCGTTCGTGCGTGGGTGTGCACGGGTGCATGCGTGTGTGTATGTGTTTTTTCAGGGGAGACTGCCACCTCAACCAATCTCTCCAGCGAGACGAATCAGCGCTTCCTGTGGGAGTCACTTTGCAGCCGATGTATTCCCAGCCATGACGGTGGACGTCTTGACATCTTTGCTGCGCTGGCCTCCAATGGTATGTTGGAAAAGATAATGCTTGACAATGTGATCTGTGCCGCATCATTTCTTCTTTTTCACTATGTCCATAACATTCTGATCGAAGTCCTTGATAATGATGGCCTGTTCTTGCTGTAACTTATTTTGATCAATCTCATTGCTTGAGACATTCTCCAAAACTAGCTTCAAGCAATGGGCAAATATAGTTCCAAGCAGTGGGCGATCGTCAGACACCATTTCGCCCCACCTGTCTCTGACTGTTGTCATTCTCATGTCGTGCTGTGTGTGTGTGTGTGTTTGTGTGTGTGTGGGTGTGTGGGTCTGTGTGGGTGTTTCCATGTGTGTGTACGCGTGTGTGTGCGTGTGTATGTGTGTGTGCGCGCGTGCACACGTGCATGTCTGTCTGATTGTCTGGCTGTGTATGTGCAGCCCAGGGTATGGAGCTGCTGAATGCACTGCAACGCTTCACTGGTTACCAAATCAGCGCAACCCGCTCTATCACAAACAAGCGAGAGTTTGGTGAGTTCACATGGCACGGTGGTCTTGTGCACATTGCTGGCATCAAGAATGGAATTGGCATGGAATTATGACCCAAAAACTTCAATGCCATGCACTTTTGCTGCACTGCTTTTGATAAGGTGCTCATGCCCCTTTGCCATTCATGTGTGTATTTGTGTGTGCATGTGTGTGTGTGTGTGTGTGTGTGTATATGTGTATATGTGTATGTGTGTGTGTGTGTGTGTGTGTGTGTGTGTGTGTGTGTTTGTCTCTCTGTCTCTGTCTTTCTGTGCGTCCATGTTTCAGTTGACAGCGACTGGGTGATAGTTCAAGACAAGTCTCCACAGTCAGACCTGTCACCACCCGCACTGTACTTCAACATGAAGACTCTGGCAACATGGACAAACACTTGTCTCTATCTAGAGGTGAGATTAGCATCGACGTTATTGTAATAAAACCTGGTTTGGGCAACCACCTCCTGCACTATATTTGAGGAAACGCAGGCACGGAAACCAGGATGAGCCTGGTATACTCCACACTCCTTGCAGCACAGACAAACTGGCATTATAGCCTCGGACCATGTGGTTGCCTCCAAGTTAGTTACATCACCAGATTTTACTTGTACATGACTGCACATCATAATTATTGGGATTGCCTACATCATGGAGATTGACTGCATTAGAGGGATTGCCTGTGCTAGGGGGATTGACTGCCCTAGGGGGATTGACTGTGTCAGGGGGATTGACTGCGTCAGGGGGATTGACTGCGTCAGGGGGATTGGCTGTATTACTAGGATCGACCACAACATAGGGTTTTTTCCAGGTTTGACAATGGCTGCATGTTCACATAAGGCTTACAGCTAGGTACAAATCGACTACTCTGATAAGGCGACCACCTGTCCCTGAACTGAGAAGACCGCTACAACTAGAACTAAGGGATGTTATTTCCAGCGCAATGACCCTGCATGTGTGCGTACGTGTCTGCGTACGTGCTTGCGTACATGTGTGCGTACGTGTGTGCGTATAACGTTATGTATGTACGTGTGTGCGTACGTGTGTGTGTGTGTGCGTGCGTGCATGCGTTGGTGTGTGCGTGGGTGTTTAAATGTGAGTGTAACAGTGGGTGTGTGGATGTGGATCATTACTCCGCTGTTCACACATTTGATTTCTTTTCCTTCTTCTGTCAGAATGCCTCCAGCACAACTACATCTCTCCTCAAGTCCTATCTTAGCCTGCAGCGTAAAGATCTCGTTCACAAGACCGTGGGAAAAGTACTCATTGAGGCACTCAGTCTCCACCAAGTGGCCGCCATTTCACGGAAACTCTCGCGAACACTTACCAAGGCCGTAACGGCCGTGGCCAGGGAAGATCTGAAATCTACGGTAAGGCGGTCACGCAAGTACATGTACTCACCGGATAAGAAGAGGCGTGGGATCCATGTGAGACAGGAGGGGGGTTGGGGGGGGGGGGGGGCAGAGGGGAGAAGGGAGTGCGGGTAGGAAGTGGGTGCAGGGGAAGAAAAGGAGGGAAAACAGAAAGAACGGAAGAAAAATGTGTAATAAACGGAAAAATAGAACAAGAAAGTAAAAAGAAGGGACGTGGACATGGAAAAATAGAAGCCTAAATAAACTAATTGCTCGGGCCATCCAACGGGGGTGGTGTAAAGAAAACGACTCTTTTACTGCACTCTCTAAGATTCGTACATACTTTAACTTGGGTATGTTTGTCTGATTCAGTCTGTTGTTCCACTTGTTTCCCCTGCTTGTCAGAGTGATATCGTGCAGCGCTTTGCTTCGTACTTTGCCAGTCTCCAGCACCAGTCCTCCAGCCCCACTCTTGTAAGTCTCTAACTGAATAATCACAGAAACATATTTTTTTGTAAAAGAGAACTGACAAAGGAACTACTAGTTACTCTATAATGTCCACTAGCACCACCAGTTACTTGACAATCTGCTCAGGCGATGATCATCAAGTAACTGGTAGTGTTAGTGGACATTATAGTGTAACATGTAGTTCCTTGGTCATTTTCTATAAATTTATCCTTGGCTCTCCATCCGAGTCCAAACATTTTTTTGAAGTGTCATATTGCAGCCAGGCTTAGGCAGGACGGAGGCATATTGCTCATTGGCTCCAGTTCACCCTGTGCAAGCAGCGTTAGAAATTTGTATGTGGAAGCAAGCAAACGTTCGTAACTCACCCACATCTAGACTGAATTCAACAATTGGAATATCTAGGTTGCAGAGGAAAGTCTCAGCTATCGCCTGCTCGCACATCTGAAGTCTCTCCAGGGATCCACGAGGGAGCGGAGATCGATCGAACCTTTTGCATTTCTGCATTTCGTGCTGCAAGTCAACAGCGCAAGAAAAGCAGAAACAAGAACCTCATTTTCACACCAAAATTTGTTACCAATATATGTTACATTAGTATTCCGGGTGGAAGATGTTGATGGCTTAAAGTGGACTCGTGTTGAATTTACATCCAGTGTTGCCTTCTCCTTGCTTTCTTGTGTTTTTCTGCAGCTGTTCTCTGAGAGCAATCGGCGTCCAGAGTCCCTCACAAATACACCGGTGATAGGTCGCAGGTCTTCAATGTCCTTCTCTACACCAACAGCCACAGCCAGCGGCGCCGTCGCGGGTAAAGGCAAGGGAACGTCTCACCACACCGCCGCCGACGCGCATGATTCTGACACACAGAGCCAAGCAAGTGTCAGTCGACAGAGCAGCGAGGCCGAGAGCGAGATGGATCAAGCTCCGGTCCCTCCAGCTAATCCGGTATGTTCCAGTTTTATTATGGCCAAGAACACATGTCCTGCAATATTGTTGTATCTGGTTTTATTCCAATGCAATTATGGTTCTTGTGTGATATACTTTTCTGGACATTGAAACCCAAAGGAGGGACCGGGGACAGCGCCCTTACTACATTGGCGCGTACACCCACGGTAGTTCACGTACGCACTGTAAGAATTGGAACGGCAATGCTCGCGGCTGCAAGGCTAGCGCCCCGTGGCCGCTTGACTTCTCAACAGATTTCACTGTCCGTAACAGTACATTTCTAGGTATCACCATGTGCAGTGAAACCTGTCTAAGACGACCGTTCAAGGGACCTTCTATACGTGGCCTCTGTTAACAGGTGGCCTCTTTATCCAGGGTCATTTGAGTGGAAATAGCATCCCTTGGTCCTGGTCGCACTGGCCTTTTGGACGAGTGGTCGCCTTGACAGGTTTTATTTTATTTTATATCTTCTGTCCGTAATGCAAGGATTCACCCAAATTACGATATCCTGCTAACCGGAAAATTTCTGTTTTTCTGTTTTGCTGTTATGCAGGAATCGCCCTTTATCTCGCCCCAGTCTAAGTTTCCTGGCAACGACTCCACATTCCGTCTCTCCCTTTCCTCCCAACCCGTTCCTGGCCTCGCCGCATCCACGGGAGGCCGGCGTACCTCGACTGGCCCGAGAATTGTCAGTTTCGACGATGCAGGCAGCCACGAGTGGATGGAGCAGCGCCATAATGTTGCCATCGAGATTGGCCGGACGGAGAAGGTCTATCGCCGCTGTTTGCTGGCCATTCATGAGAACTTTCACGTCCCTCTAAAGAATGCAGTAATCACTGGCAAGTAAGTATATCTATTTTGACAGTTCAACTTCTAGATTGAAACCTGTAATTCAACGATGGATGAAAGATGGTTTGTCGCTGCACACATTAGTTTTGTCTTAATCGTGGCAGCATGGCAATAGAGCTGAATCGACTGTCCAGAGCCAGTTTGTGCTGCGAAGATGTCGGTAAACAATCGTTTTGAATGATTGCATTCTCTTGCTGTGGGGAGGCTGGGATAGGAGAGCGGCAGGGAGGGAATTCCAATCGCTGATGCTGCAGTGTGGGAACGAGCGCTTCAGTGCCAGTGGGGCAGATGCAGGAAGCTGATGTTGGAGCTGGTGGTCATGGCCACTGACAGCACCGTGCTCACTGCGAGTTCTGGGGTTGGTAGAGGTGATGTGGCAATACAGAGAGCAGCTGCGGAGGACCAGGCAAGTAGTGCAGCTTGTACAGGCAGGCAAGCGAGGCAACAGTGCGGCGGATGGCCAGGCTGGGTAGGTGTGCCCCAGGGCCTATAGCATGAAGCGCGCGGCGCTGAACATTGTTCAGACGCTGGAGGTGACTCTGCGCAGCTCCCATCCATACAAGAGGCGCATACTCCATGACTGGTCGTACGAACGCCTTATATACAGTCGTCCAGCCGGCGGGGGTGAGGATGTGGGCGGCTCTGTTTAGGACCCCAAGCCGTTGGCGTGCACGGGTGGCTACGGAGCGTAGGTGATCGCTGAAGGTCAACTTGGCGTCCACCTTCACACCAAGGAGGGTGGTGGTGGTTGTCTCGGGCACCAGTGTGCCACCAAACAGGAGTGGGGGGAGATCTAAGCCGGTGCATCTGTGTTATGGCCTGGGATTTGGTCGGTTCAAACATCACTTTCCATATACGACCCCACTCGTGCAGTCGGTCAACGGACACCTGCAGTGACTGCGCGGTGGCTGTTGGGGTCTGCTGGGAGGTGACTATGCTGTACAAAGTTGTGTCATCAGCATAGGCCTCCAAGCTGGCGCCGTAAGCGAGAAAATCTGGCACGCCGTTGACGTAGGCCAGGAAAAGCGTTGGTCCAAGGATGCTAGTGCCATTTAGGCTGAATGGCTTTTGGACTTTGAGCATCGTGTGTCACATATTTGAAGAGTAAAACTTCAATGTAGCTTACATGTACCTCCATGAGCAGAGCTAAAAATCTGCACTTTACGAGGTACTGTATATCCAAGGTCGAATCACTGATGTAGCATTACATACAGCGTCCTCCAAGAGAGTACATAATATCCAAGAGCATGCAGCCCTAGTCTACGGGCTGTGCTCTAGCAGAACTTCACATCACGTGACACACCCGTACTCATTAGCTATCAACTGTGGAATATAACTTCAGAGTTTGCATGAAGTGGTACTGCTTTATGTACAACTCTCTGGTGATCACTTTTGACCTGTTTTCCAACGTAACCTTTTGAACCATGTTACGTCATGTGGTGTGAAACTCTGCCGTCGCCATACGGAATAGTTTCTATACTGGCAGTTGCATATTCTACGGAATCCTGTACCCTTGGTACATTTAGCACTTTACGGGAAGTCAACACATTTCCGGCGCATATTTATTTTCGGCTATTTTCGGCCTGATCACATTTGGCCGAAAATGTGTTGCAGCCGAAATTTTGTTCTGCAATGTTGCGTGTGACAGTGTATACAGTCAGCTGCAATGCAGGCCGAAAATGTGTTGCAGCCGAAATGTGTTTTAGCCCCGGGAGGCCGGGATTTGAATGGGCTGAAAATTTGTCGACCTACAGCATGCATCCTTTTCCATTGCACAAAACAGCAAGAATGAACTCTCATATTTTCATAATAAAAAAAACAAAAAAAAACATAATGTCATTAATGACACTTGACAAAAAAAACAGAAAACAAAAACAAAACAGCAACTGGTAGTTTTGGTGTCATTATTGATGGTCTACTGCACTTTAACTGTGCTGTGGTTTCTCTCTCTCTCTCTCTCTATCTCCCTACCCCCCTTCCTCCCTTCCTCCCTCTTCTTCTACAGAGCCATCATCAGTGTGACAAACATCGAACTAATCTTCACCGACACGGGAGTGCTTCTTCAAATTTCCAAGTAGGTAGCTTTACTCCGGTTTTGTGTATTTTAGCCTCAGCAGAACCGGTGTGTATGTGTGTTTTACCACCATTGATTTCCCCAGTCAATCTGCCTTTGTTGCCGTCTCTCAATACAGGGCAGCTGCATAGCCAGGGCATTATTTGTTCTGTCTTAACAGACCTCAAGCGGGGTGCGTGGGTGGCGAATTGTCTAGAGCACAGGAGGAGGGACATTTCCTGCTGAAACGAGCATGTTTGCAGCGTGGGCCAGCTACTATGCTTGCACATGCTAGACTAGGTTCTCTTTTCAGGGCAAGTGTTGTCGTCGCTCGCAAAATATTTTGACTGAGTGCTCGAGGAATTGTTATGCTCTTTCACCCCTATGGCGCCTGCTCGCATTTGTATACAACGCTGCCCCGCATGCATGCATGCATGCAGGAACGCAAGTCGGTGCCAACGCATTCTTACTTGGTGCCTACGCCGCGTATTATTATTATTGGTGTAGACACTCTGAAAAGATGGCTTGTGGACATTCGTTCATCTCTGTATGTACCTTTTTTCCGATTCGTCTCCTTGGTTAATGAGCCATGCTCACGTTCTACCCAAGGAAGTCGACTGGCATGAGCTTGGTGTTTAATTGTTGTACTCGAGTCGAATCTCAATACGTGTGTGAACTTGCTGAGGGTACAAAGAACCCAGGTACACATCCAGTACAGGTCGTTAATAATGGGTTTTATTTTAAAAAACAAGTCCGAGTTTAACAAGTCTCTAAGCTTCATATTTTGTTCTCCTTGTATTCCTGTGTTCTACAGGCAAACTGATGGAAATCTACAGTCCAAGCTGAATGACTGGAGTGCTTATCAAGTAGGTAGTGCATTAGTGCCAGGTACTACATGTATGTGTGCTTGGTGAAAACCTCACCACATACTCTATAGAGGTCAAGCTGCACGTTATTTTTCACGTGATGCGAAAGTTCAGCTCGTGTTATGCGGCTCGCACTTTGGAAAACAACGCGAGTGGCCTGTAGCTTAATGGAAATTTGGAGTGTTACGCCGAATTTGACGTGAATTTGCGCGTCACATCTAAAGTAGCATGCAGCTCAACCTGTCTATTATTGCTCAGCACGGCACCCAGCTGGCACAGCTTTTTCAGACAGAAAAGAAGAAAGTAGTTTCAGGTGTGCAAGAATGTACTCGAACAGAGAGCCAAGGATAACTTTATGGAAAAAGAAGAAGGACCAAGGAACTACAAGTTACGCTATAATGTCCACTAACACCACCAGTTACTAATCAATCATCTCATGCGATAACATTGCACGACACTGACCGACGGTACTGGCGTTCTACAACTAGCTGGCTAACAGCTCTAGCACGTCTTGGATGCGCACTCCAACAGCCTTCCAACTTGGAAGGTTCTAACTTATATGATACCATAGGAGAGGAAGGAAATAACTCGGAACCTTCCAAGTTGGAAGGCTGTTGGAGTGCACATCAAGATCCATCCAAGATGTGCTAGAGCTGTTAGCCAGTTAGTTGTAGAACGTCACTACCGTCGGTCATTATCGTGCAATGTTATCGCTTGAGCTGATTGTTTAGTAACTGGTGGTGTTAGTGGACATTATAGCATAACTTGTAGTTTCTTGGTCCTTTTTCTTTTTTATAAAGTAGTTTTTAGATTCTATAACTCAGAGGTTCATGCAAATGTGTAAACGGTCAAGCTAAGTTGCAATTTAACCTCGCTTTGCCTCCTGTTGCATCTGTGCCTTGATCCTAGAGGGTTGTGGCGTTCGTGCGGATGCGCAAAACCCGGCCTTGAGCTGAGTCTTACGCGAACCGTGATTCGTTTTGCCTCCTGTGCTGTGGTGATGCTGAAACTTTCATTGTCTCTTTGGTGGGCATGCATCCTGTACCAATGTTTGCCAGATGTTGAACAGCTCATAATTAAAATTTAATGTGCGTGTTTGTGTGTGTTTGTGTGCGTTTGTGTGTGTGTGTGTGTGTGTGTGTGTGTGTGTGTGCATGTGGATGTGCATGTGCATGCATGTGTGTGTTTTACTTAAACGCTGATTCGTGTGTCCGTACATCTGCCGACTTTGTGCATATCTTGGGGCAGTGTCTGGGAGATGTATTCTCTTGTTTCACGTCGTCTCTACAATCCTACGTGAACTTTGCCAACAACTACCCGACAACTCTAGCCACGATCATGAGGGTAAGCTACTTGACCTGCTTGCAGAGCGAATACAGGAGAGAGCATCGGAATCTAAGGGAGAGGTTTGTGTACAATCTAAAGTAAGGGATGCCAGACGAGTATATTCACAAGTGTCCTCAAGAACGACATGGAGAAGAGCAAGCTGATAAAGAGTACACGCAAGAGGTGCGCAGTTCAAACAAAAATTCCCTTGGTGATTTGTTCACTATAGTTCTTACACATGTTGGCCTTGCGTTTGCATGGCGTTTGCATGGCGGAGAGCCCGCAAGCTGTGCTTAACGGGTATTGTACACTGACATACGATCACCACACAGAAAATAGCTGCAGTCTGACCTGCATGCCCGATCAACTTGGTCGCTTCTATTTCGAAACATCAAGCACCTTTCTCATGACAGGAGATGCATAGGTGAAACATACTGTAAACCGACAAATTTTCGGCCCATTCAAATTTCGGCGTTCCGGGGCTAAAACACATTTCGGCTGGAACAATTTTTCAGTCTGTACTGCTGCTGCCTGTACGCACTGTCCCACTGAACCTTGCAAAACAAAATTTAGGCTGCAACAAAAATTTAGGGCAAATATGATCAGGCGCGAAAATAGCCGAAAAGAAATACGCGCCGGGTATTTGTTGATTAACGGTAACAGGTACCATAACACCCTCTGGCAAGTTTCTCCAGCTAGGGCTGCTATTGCACAATCTAGTCATCCACTAGGGCTTGGGTTGTTGGGCCGGAACAGAGGGTCATGAAAAAGGTGCTTAAAAAAATGTCACGGTTCGCGTCACAGACTCGACGGCCGAGTTTTCAAAGGTGCTTGGTGTTTCGAAATCTAAGCGACCAGGTTGAACGGGCATGCAGGTCAGTCTAGAGGTATCGTCTGTGTGTTGATTGTATGTCAGTGTACAAATCCCGTAAATTAAGCACAGCTTGCGAGCTCTCCGTATGCAAACGCCATGCAAACGCAATACCAACATGTGCAAGAACCATAGTGAACAAATCACCAAGGGCACTTTTGTTTAAAAAAATAGTTTATAATAAAAAAAATTATAAGAAGAAAAGAGGACCAAAGAGCTACAAGTTACGCCATATTATCCACTAACACCACCAGTTACGTTGCAATCAGCTCGTGCGATAGCATTGCACGACACTGACCCAACGGTACTGAAGTTCTACGCCTAACAGGCAATCAGCTTTAGCACATCTTGGCAACCAAGACAACCAAGACAAGCACGAGCTGAACGTCTCGGCTGTGAAGGACTTTGGCGGATGTGCATGTATATCGACGATACTGGCAAGACCATCAGACCAAACGGTCAAACCACAATTCAGTGACGCATAGCAACATACCACACGACTTGTGTGGCTCTAAAGATTCGAAAATCGTTTGGAGGGGAAGCTACGCGAACATGCATTAAGAAGAACACAACGCCCCAGTACCACCGAACAGTACTTAGACCAAGACAATTAAGATGGAAAAATTGGTAGCAGTAACAAGCAGCAGTTTCACACGACGATCGTTTCGCCGTATAGGTAAGGACGGCTCATCAGATGTGTATAGTCAGCAGTGGTTACCTCATGAACTTTTCCTTCGTTTTGAATCGATTGGGAATGTCGATGAACCAGTCGGGGTCCTCCTCACGTGTTGACACATGGGCCGTGCTGGTGGTGAGGGTAGCGACACCATGCACGACAACACTATGCTTGGCGAAGCGATCACGGAATGCTTACGTCCTCCGCGGGTGTGAGTGGTGAAGCCGGCCCTGAGCTATCGCAGCAGGTCTGGAGTCTTGAAAGGTCTTGAATTTCATTTTCCCTTTTTGAAGACCTTGAAAAGTATGGATTTTGATTTTTGTTGATCTGGTAGACATTCGTGATGCTTTGGGTTGGTATATAACATGCTTTATTGTTCCCTCGACTTGACTATGATCAGTTGAGCCATGCGGTCACGGGGCTGCCACATTTCTGCCAGTAGATCTCCGAATAGGGTCTACCCCGGCCGGGGGTGAAGGGAGCGGTTGCCATGGGGAGGCAGCGCTCCCTTTAGAAGCCAAAGCATTAAACTTTCAAATGGCTAAAACAACAGTTAAGGGCACTTTAGTGAACAACCCAAGAATGTGCATGATTTCCAGGGCTGAAAACAGATTATGGCACGTCAGCTTTCGTGAAAAATCCAAGCCAGATGGCGGAGAGAAGCTTTTCGGTTGCATTCTGGAAACAACCTGGAAAACTCAAGAGCGTTTCCAAAAACTCTCTGCTGATGAGATCTAACAAGGTACAATAGTTAGCTGTCTGAAGATATAGACTCAGGTGGAGAGCCAAGGACTAATTTCTAAGAAAAGTAATGTTATCGCCGCATGAGCTGATTGTAACGTCACTGGTTGTGTTAGTGAATCTTGTAGCGTAACTTGTGGCTCTTTTGGTCCTCTTTTCTTCTTGTCTGAAGATTGGCAGATGTATAATTCCACTGTTCCTGGGTGTATATGTATATGGTCTGGTGCATGATTCCTAATCTGGTGACCTGTGTTGTTGGCTTGCTCTTTTTGCTCGTTTCCGGGGTGCTATGCCTGTGATAGTGTCGTGATGAAAGCCCTGCATTCCAAGCGTTTCTCAAGCAGCAGACTGGACAGCCGCAGACCGCCATGCTCAATCTCTTCGAGCTCCTTCTGCTGCCGGGCCAGCGCATTGTTAGGTAGGAAAGCGGTACACGTGGATAACAAGTTTGACCCTGTTGTCCCTCTCTGTCTCTGTTTCTGTCTCTCTCTCTCTGTCTGTCTATCTCCGTCTATCTCTGTCTCTCTCTCTCTCTGTCTCTCTCTCTCTCTCTCTCTCTCTCTCTCTCTCTCTCTCTCTCTCTCTCTCTCTCTCTCTCTCTCTCTCTCTGTCTGTCTGTCTGTCTGTCTCTCTCCGTCTATCTCTCTCTCTCTGTCTCTCTCTCTCCGTCTATCTCTCTCTCTCTGTCTCTCTCTATCTCTGCATATCTGTCTGTCTCTCTCTTTGCCCCTCTCTAAAAGTGTTGGAAATTTAGAGCCCAAATCAGTGCATTTTATTGATTCACGGGGTACTTGGGGCAAACATTGGTACGGTCAATAGCGCAGTGACCATACCGCACGGTATGTCTACAAACATGTATAACACAAAGGGGAGGACCCTACAACCAGTACTCAGCACCTTCGGGTGAAGTTTGATCATACAACAGGGAGAGGTGGAAATAATAATAATAATAAAAATGTAATCAACGCAATAAGTAGAGTAAGCTGTGCACTCAGCACAAACACCATTAGCAAAACTTGTTTTCATTTAAATAAAGAAGCTTGTTCCAAAACGTTTTCGTCGCCATCTCATCAGAGGATTACTGGCAAATCAACATTAGCTCAATATATATACGTACAATGCAAGTAATAATTTGGACCCTAACTAGCGCGAGAAAATGAGAGCTGAAAGAAACATTACATCAATCAACGATATCAGGTGACAACAGATGCGATAAATTCACCACTGGAAAGTAACCATGCAACCACAAACGAGAACTACTGGTCTAAATTCACAAACATTTTCAACGTAAACAAATTCTTTTTCTGCCTACACAAAATCGGCTTGGTGGTAAAAATGTAGATAGACTCCATTACACGCAAATACCTTTGACTACGGTTGAAGTACGTGAACGAGACCAAACAGAAAAGCAATCATCAGTATAACTAGAACGATAATCACTATTCTGAACAAGATGATTAGCAACAGAAGATTCATACACCCTAACACCACTACTAGAACCAGTACATACTTTGGAATTACGTGACAATGAAAACGACCTGACATACCTTGCCGCTACTGCCAATCCAGACGAGGCCGATGTAGATGTCAGTACCAGACACGTTCGTTAATGGCACTGCCTGCTGCGATGATGCTCCCTTTGACGTTCCAATGGCTGTTGATGTTGATGAAGAGGAGGGAGATGAGGAAGATGCTGACGACGACGATGACGACAACGACGGAGACGATTAAGACTCTGCCAACCTCGCCCTAGAGCGAGTCGCTGGTCCCGCAGACACCCCATCCGGTGGTTTCTTCGGTGGCCGTCCACGCTTTTTGCCACCGGAGGTGGACACACCGGATGACGGTACCAAGGAAGTCAAAGAAGGCGAAGCCGCATATACCAACGATGATGACGGGATAGAAGGAAGAGACGGTAAAGACGAAGGCAATGACGAACAAGCCGATGCCGACGAAGAGGACATGACACCCCAGTTGGTTCCGTCCCCAGCGAGGGTGCACCTCCAGTCTCAGTACCATTCTTTGGGGGACGACCTCGTCTAGGCCTTGACGACCGTGCCTCAACAGGCATAACGTGAAGAGGCACATGCTGGTGGGTCCGTGCCTCCAGGTGCTGAAGAGATTTATCATTACAATGAAACGAACCAAAACGGTCCTTTCTCAGCAGCTTAATTTGGCGCGCATACTTCACATGTAAGCGGTGACGTTGCTTTACATCAACTTCACCAATCAATCGACAAAACCGAATGAAATCACATGGACTAAGGAACACACGAATCTCAAGATTACTACGGTGAAACTGTCGCTTCAAACGGTCACAAGTAAGGAGCGACTTGGCTAACTCATCTTTAACAATTATTCGCTCAATCTTCATGTAGTCATGCACCTTACATTTACGAACACGGGCCTGGATACGTTTAGGTGTTACGCCATGTTTAAGACAATCAAACAAAAAAAGAGTGATTACAAAGAACATTGTTAAGACGGCCGCGACACTGCAGCGCATTGTTGAGAACTTTAATCTCAGATCTATCATGTCTCCTCTTCAAATAATTAAAAAGCTTTAATACGTGGAGATAAAAATGTAATCAACGCAATAAATAGAGTAAGCTGCGCACTCAGTACAAACACCATTAGCAAAACTCGTTTTCATGTAAATAAAGAAGCTTATCACTCCCTTAGTATTGACTCACATAGATTTTTGCCATACCTAAGCAGTCAAATATTCCTGCATATTTCACTCCTTAGGGCTATATTGACTGCTTATATTTGACTGCTTAGGGGTGGCGCAGTTGAACGGTGCCTAGTGCAGCATTGTCACTGCATGAGTACGTGGTGGTGCAACGGTTGTGCAATCATAAAACCGGGATTCATGAGGTTATCGTTCTGGGATTTGAAATACGGACTTTTTGTCGTGATAAATCTAATATTGACTTCGTACTTGGTCAGTGCAGGAAATATAAACCTCGTAAGAGACCTCGGCTTTTATTTCCTATATTGACCTCGTACTCAGTCAATATTAGATACTTATTTACATGAAAACAAGTTTTGCTAATGGTGTTTGTACTGAGTGCGCAGCTTACTCTATTTGTTGCATTGATTACATTTTTAACTCTACGTAAGCTTTTTAATAATAATAATAAGGCCAAACTAAAGAAGGTGTGTGGTTCGACTAACATGGACATTTTTTTACGGGCGGGCGGGTGGATTTTTTTTTAAATATATTTTTTAGTACATGTAAATACAATGTACTGCCTTTAGACACCCAGTACATCGGCATTATTACGCAGTGTTATGCCATACATGTTGTATAAAGGGATCACTGGCTAATACTTTGAAACATTGTGTAGCTCTGGAACGAGAAGAGAATAACTTCAAGCGGTGACTCTGACTGTCCAAATCATCAAGCAAATGAAGAACGATGGGAGTTGAAAGTAAGTTCGGGAACTACTTCGAAGTACAAATTGTACAATGTACCGGTACATGTATTGCTAGTTTTGTGTCGGCGTGCACGAATACATGGGCTTTTTCCATCGACGCTTCCTGTGCTTGCACACATGGAGCAGCAACTTACCGGTACAGGTGAAATATCGTTCCCAATACACGAGGAAAGTGCAATCTCGTCTGTCCTTCATCCCAAAACAGAAGGCCGTCCTTAATCTGGAACGAGGCAATCACTCTCAACCGGACGGTCACTTCAAAATAAGTCTCGCCAGTCTGCCGGTGGTCGTATCGAGTAGACTCTACTACCAGCACAAGGCAGCAGTCGTACCACTCACTGCACTGCACTGCAGTACAACTACAAGTCAAGTCCAAAAGGAGCCGCCTGCGTCCGCAGACTCACGCTGCACAGCACGTAGACGTGGACGTGTTCAGTCCACGTACGTCAGTCACACGACAGCCCGCCGAAAAAAAGTTACGGTCGGGCTGAAAAATGTACGGTCGGTCGGGTGAGTCGAACCACAGACCTTCTTCAGTGTGGCCTAATAATAATTGTATTAGGATGACCCAAACGCTGACCGCCTATCGTGGGATCCGTCAATGTCCTCATCTACAGTGATGTCAACTGAAATCCGGACGGACCCCTTGAGAGCGGTGCACGCTCACATCGCAAATACCCGGCATGGGATTGTAACAGTAAGAAATAGAGGCTGCTAGAAAGTGAACGCACCGCTCAGGGGGTCGGATTTCAGTTGCCATCGGTTTAGCTTGGAGCTATAAACGCATATCCCCTCCCTACCTTGTTTACATTCCGCCTTCGTATCCTGTAGTGGCATGCATGTAATGTTTGTACTGCATCCTGATCCCCCTGCCCAGTTACCTACACCTTCTGAACACATTCAAGGTGCTAACACCGCCGGATCATCCAGATCATCAATTGCTAGACGTTTCCATAACTAGACTGGAGCGAATGAAGACAATCATGTTCGAGGTAAGTGCTCTTCAGTGACGAAGCGGATCCAATCTCTTTTGCGCCGGCCAGCCAAAGTCCTTCTCGTTGTAATAATTATTGCAATGGCAACTACCACAGCTCCTGCGTTGATCCTTTATCGGACTATGAAGAAATTATGAATTCGATCACCTTGCTCTTTTCTTACCACCCTTGTCCGAGTTTTATACTCGTAGGACTTTCTGCAGGCCTCAGAAGTCAATAAAAAATACCATAACAACAAGGTTAAGTTACTCAATCGGAGTTGATGTCCGGTATGGAGTCCGTAATGTCCCATGCAGCTTTGACCTCTTTTTGATGTCAGCAGTGGGACCCTGGCCTGGAGGGCAGTTTATTCACTACATCAAGAGTAGATAAGCAAGAGTGCGTAACTCGCGGATGGGTTCACCCATGGCGAGTTTTTGGAAAGGTTTGCCTCGTGCACTAGGCCGGTCAGTGCCCAGCATGTGCTCTCACACTGCTCTGCGGCAAAATGTGCGTTTTTCTGAAAAAAGGTGACGTCCGCCGTGGGCCTGGGTATCTGCAGATTGTGCAGGAGAGATCCGGAGTTTTCCACTCTTGTATATCTACTCTTGCTACAATGGATGTGCTGCCCTGCTACGAAAGATGCCAGCCTAGCGTGCATGAAACCATACACAACCCCGGATCTGAGTGTATCCCAAAGTCGGCAATGTGATGGTATCAACCCGGCTGTGTCGTAACCCATTCATACCGGCGTCTACTGTTACCATTTTGTAGTGTGGATTCACGAACGTCTCCATCGCTCAAGATCGTTCTGTTTCAAGATGCCTTTGTTTCACTGTCTCATTGTTGTTGTGCATGACATTTGAAACCCGCTGGTTTTCTGTCCATTGCTGTGCTCTCTCTCTCTGCTTTCACTTATTGATGAGATACTACGTGGAGAAGTTTGTTGATTGGGTTGTGCACCTGTCCTGCTACTGTGACCAGGCAAAGGAAAGGTCCATGCGTGAGAGGAGGCTGCACAGTTTGCAGAATACCATCATTGGTTCTCCGGTAAGAACGAAGCCGATTGCTTCTTGGCGCGTTGCTACTTTCTTGTTGTGTGTGTGTGCGCACGCGCGCGCGTGCGTGTGTGTTTTAAACCACAAAACACTCCCATGTATGCTACATGGCAAGGTCGTCATAGGCGGCCGAGGCCACCCCACTTTTGCGGCCGGTTTTTTGGTGCAGACTACTGCAACACAGCGCGATGATCGCATGCACAAACGTGGCGAATAATGAAGAATCCTTGTCCCCGACCGTAGCGTCTTCTTGGTTAGTTGCAGAATCAAAAAGTCTTTCATGGATTGTAGTTACATACACTGAAATGGCACCAAATGCCCTGAAGTGCTTGCAATTGGCTTCAAATCTTGAATTTTTTCCCGGAGGAGGACCCCGGACCCCATTCCATGGCCACCCCAAAGTCAGTGCGATGGGCCCACATGGTCACGTTACCTACAGTAAAGCCTGTAACTAAAGACTACCGTGACATGCGACCAGCCTGGTACTACCGACCACTTCGCCAGGCACGGACGGTCTCACATTCAAAATGCACTGTGACTAGCGACTACCTGCTGATTGCGACCAGCGACCGCCTTTTCCTGTCCCAAAGACGATTTTTGACCCATAACTAGTGACCGCGCTGTAGGAAAACAAATGTTGCTCGAAGCTCCTTCTTGACATTTTGATGATTTTCCGTGGTCCTGAAAGGAATCTTTCGATACTACAGCTGAAGAAATGAACGCAGGTCATTTTTACTGTGGAGTTAGTGTGGACTGCACTACACCTGTCAGAATTTCAAGCACTGTCTAGAATAAACATGATCGGAAACGTCTTGGAGAGCGCATCGAAAGCGCTCTCTGATCGATGTTACTACTCGGAGGAGAAACGAAGACTAAGCGGCTCTGTCACCCCAGTAATACAGACGAATCGACGATGGCATCAAGGAATCCAGAAACAAAGCAGCACCGCAAGGTCCTGATGCTGAAGGATCGCGTTGAAGCAATCAAGAAGTCGCAACAAGGACAGTCGGTACGATTGATCGCATGAACAAATTTGAAGCCCAGCACAAAACGAAACTTCCACAGGGAACGTTTGACTCCTGGCTTCAGAAGTAGGAGCTGAATGATGTCCGCAAAAATTATTAATCTTCTCTCTCTCTCCCCATCTCGCCGTCTTTCTCTCCAAGTGTTGTTTGACCTGAAATAAGAATGGCATTGCGCTAGTCTTGGGGAATTGTATTAGCTGCATTTTGATATACATATCATATAATGGGATCCATATATGGTCGCGCAGTGCAAACCTCTAACTAAAGACCACCTGCTACTAAAGACCACTTTTGCTGGCACCAAGGGGTGGTCGGTAGTCACAGGTTTTACTGTAATTTTAACACCTGCTCGAATATTGGTCGTTTTGCTTCTGTCATTCCAACACTGAAGTTCTTCCCTGTGCTGCTGCTGGTGTTGTTGTTGTTGTTACCAAATAGATACTAGAAGAAGGTCATCGCTACCTGCTCTATGAGGAGACATTCCAACACTTGGTGCACTGCAACTATGGCAAATCTCACAGAGGACAGAGCAACGATGGGTAGGTGCAGCATTCCTAGAATACGAATACATGTACAGTCAACTTTGCGTATAACGACACTCGGCGGGGCATCAGAAAAGTGTCGTTATTCGCGAAGTCTCATTATATGTATTACAGGTAGATGGGACTTTGCTCTGGGCATGGGAATTCTGTCGTTATTCGTGAATTGTCGTTATATCCGCAGTCGTTGTTAGCGAAGCTGACTGTATTGGTCTTGGAGATGAATAGTTTGAGTGTGACTGGCATGAAAGAAGCTGTATCGTTTGTCACTTTATGTTTCTTTTGCAATGTTGGCTTAGTTTTTTCTCAGGCATTGATTTTGTTTGAATAGCGCTTTTTGCAAAAAGTTCTGCTGCGCTCACCAGTTTTGAAGTGCTTTCAAAGCCTTATTTGTTGTGGTCTAATCAAGTCCTGTGCAGACTGTGATTTTTCTGTTTGTACACGTCCATCTGTTTCCTTGCGCATCTGCTTCTACATATGTGTGTGTGTGTGTGTGTGTGTGTGTGTGTGTGTGTGTGTGTGTGTGTGTGTGTGTGTGTGTGTTGTGCTCCTTGGGAGCAGGTTACACTTTCTGAGCTCCGTGTTCTTGGCTTTCTCCCAAGTTTTCTGCCTGCCCAGGGCGACTCTGGCGTAGCCAGAGTCGACCCTGGAGCACCCTCGCACACTGCCAAGGTAGTGCTGCATGATTGGAGCGCGGAATCGCGATGTAGCTTGCAGGACAATTTACTTTGATATTGTCACTGCTGCGTCGGCCGTGGTCCGCCACTCGCAGTGGAGTAGCTGTCCCTCGAGTGCTGTGAAGAATCCAAGCTCGAAGAATGCAGTGGTGGGAATTGCGGATTGGCTGGTGGAGTGCTGGAACAACTCGTTGTTTTCAGTGGAGTGGACGAGCGAGTGCGGAGAGGAAGGTCCCAATGGCGGAATGGTGGGAATTGAAACTTCAATCTTTCGTCGTCATGAGTGCACTGGTCAAGCGTTGTGGAAGTCTGTCGGATTTGTGAGGCCTTGCCCTGCCGCTTACATCGTCAACGTGGAAGAACTGCTAGTGGAGTCCTGGTGGGATTTCGGATGCCCACACTCCTTTTGCTTGGTGGATTCTTTCGTGGACAGTGTTTTTTCGTGACGTGAAATTTTGAATTTTTTTTCCTTCCTGTTCATTTGCAGTCGTTGTCACTGTAGCTGTCAGGTTGTTGTTACAGTACAGCAGTCGTCCGTTCTGCTCCATTGTTTCATCTGTTTTGCCAGTTCTGCTAGCTGATTCTATTTATTTGCCACTGCCCCTCATAGTGCTCATGCTTGAGTGGAGGGCGGCGTGACCCGTTTAGGGTAGCTGTATCATAGTAGTAGTAGTAGTGTGTGTGTGTGTGTGTGTGTGTGTGTGTGTGTGTGTGTGTGTGTGTGTGTGTGTGTGTGTGTGTGTGTGTGTGTGTGAGTGAAGCTTATATCAGATCCATTCTGATTTAGCCACCCGCACTAGTACCAGGTATTACCTTCACTGGGGGCAGGGGTACCTGCAGTTGGATCCCGGGACGGATACCCTGATGCCGTTAATCCTTTTTCTGCACCTTGTACTCACCCACTTACTGAGGTGTGGTGAGCCCATAAGTGGGATCATTTCAAGTCCACCCTAGTTTGGGGATTTCAGGGGGTGTCGGCCGTTGGGTGGTTCAATGGCCGATTGAGTCATCTTTCCAAGATTCCTTTTGAGTCTCTCTCCCCTCTCCCGGGGAGACCCACGTGACCAGTTTTGGCAGTGAGCAAGTACAAGTACAAGTGTGTGTGTGTGTGTGTGTGTGTGTGTGTGTGTGTGTGTGTGTGTGTGTGCGTGTGCGTGTGCGTGCGTGCGTGTGCGTGCGTGCGTGTGCATGCACAAATGTGTATGTCCATGTGGGTATGTGTATGTTCATTTTTTTGTCCACGTGTCCCACCATCACTTCAGACCAATCTACCAGCATATCGGCGACATTGGTGCATTTCTCCTCACTGATTCTCTTCTGCTGACGAACATCGAGACGCGTCATTTCCCATTTGAGAGAGCTACATCAACCGCACACCAGTAAGAACCTAGCATTGTAGAGTTGTGCAGTAACTAGATCAAGTGCTTTCAAACCTGTGTAAAACCTGTGTTAAACCTGTGTCAAACCTGTGTCAAACCTGTGTCAAACCTGTGTCAAACCTGTGTCAAACCTGTGCTTTAGTCCATTCCGATGTGAATTTCTCGAAAGTTGCATTGAAACTTGCTTTCCTGAAAGTTACACAGCTTCTGTTTAGTGTATTTCGTGTCTGTGGCTCATCAGCAGTGTATATGGACGACTTCCAATATACTCCATTGTGGACCTGAGAGACACCTGCTTATTGTGGTTTTCATGTCCATTACTGCAGCTACAGTGCATGCTTTGCCCTGGACAGCCTTCAGCTGGTGGACATGATGGATTCTAAACGTAAGTTTGCTTGTGACTTGCCAAAGCCAGTGTTCAACCAGTCTGGTTTTCATGTGTTTGAATTCTCTGTCCACCTCCATTGCTGATGCTTCACATCTAATGCATGTTGGTACTATATTTTCTAGAGTATAAGCTGCACTTTGAACACTCAAAATTCACCCAGAAAAAGGGTGGTGCGGCTTATACTTCGATGATCAAATTAACGGTATTAAATACGTAGGGTATAGTTCTGTATTTCATGGCAAAATATGGGGGTGCGGCTTATACTGCAGTGCGGCTTATAGAAGGGAAAATACGGTTCATGTTTATGCTCTTGTAGGTGATATGATGTGGCAGCTGATGTGATCTGGGTGGGCAGGTGGGCAGATGTAACTGCACATGCATGGTGGTGTGTCTGTCCAGGTGTGTGTTTGCATGTGGGTCCATGTGCACCATCATAAGGAATATCCTAGCTCTAATACTTGATGGCAAAATAGAAACAGAAGTACACGTCTCGTATGTCAAAGCTCGTACTAGTATTGTGCATCATGCTGTGCTTTATCCCGCTGTGTGTGCTATGCAGATGTGCGCCACTGCTTCACACTGGCTACTGGTGATGGCAAGCATCGATGGGTGTGCAGGGCAGCGTCTCGTGACATAAAAATCGCCTTCATAGCGGCCGTACAGAAAGCGACGGAATCCCTGCAGCCACTTCAGTACTGAACATCGACTAATGGATTCTTGGATTCTTGGTCAGTTGCCTTTAGGCTGGTGGTGTGGAAGTGCATGTTCCAATGGCTGTAAAATGAAAACATGTTGCATTAGGTTCCACAAGGGAGTTGTAGTAAGCAGGGAGACAACATGGGCGACTGTAACTCTCATTCATGTAGGATTCGGCCCCGGGTTGCCAAGTGCAGTCAGTTCAAGTTGCCCTGGGAGGAGGGCTGATTTATGCACACTCGAATATGGCATGGCTTGTCTAGGCCACATCTGAGGTCGGCAGATAACGGCCTCAAGTGCGATTGCAAGTTGTGTTCCATCATAGATCATGTGGAACTTCCGAATCTGGAGTCGAAGCACACATTCGGGCACTGTGATCCTGCATCGACTCCCTGGTTTGCACCCGCTAGCCATGAATGATGCCTAGCTTTGTGCAACTCCTTTCCTGGACCTACATTGGATGTGTGGGCGCTTCTAAGAGGGTTGGCCAATGCAAGGGATTCTACAATATTCCGAGCATTGAATTGAGAACCACCGGCTCAAGAGGGGTTCAAACCCTTGATCTTCGGCTTCGTAGACTGACGCCTTATCGCTTGGCCATTGAGCCAGTTGTACTCTGGTCAGTGAATGAGGTATACATGTATACCACATTTCCTCGATTATAAGTCGCACCCCCATTTTCAGGTTTCAGCAATTTTGTTTCGACATGATCACTTCAGTAGTAAGTCCTGCTCTGTTGTGTAAATTTTGAATTTTTGTGTAAAAAAAGTGCGACTTATATTCAGGAAAAATACGGTAGCTACGGTTGATACTACGTTTATCATCATAACATGCATTTTTCTTGCTCTTCTTGTTTGTTATTTTGGTGTGTGATCTAGATCTGCTTTGACTCGCAAACAACATGAATGGACTCGAACTGCTCGTCGTGTCACCTTTTCAGCGACCCACGCTCCTACAGGTGGTCTTGAAATCACACCAAATCATTACAATTTGTATACAATTTGTAGCAACTACTGTCTGCTGTATTTCGAGCCTTTTCCCGAGATCAGATTCAAAACCTGTCTGGAAATTCTATGCATACCCCAAATCATTCCAAGTTTATGCTGTAATTTGAGCTGCATTATGATTCGACGATTCAAAACAAGTCTGGATAACTTTATGTTCAGTACTAATAATGTATTTTTCACCTTCAAAAAAATCACTTTTGACTGCCAGTCTGGATTTCCACTTGGATCAGCTTCAGCTATAATTTTTTAAATCTATATTTCGAAGGGTTTTCATGCTCTTATCATGACTTGATTGACCAGATTTTCACAAATCCTCTCCAAAGATTCAAAATTATTCATTATTATAATAATCAGCAGATGGAAACCTGTATAGGTGTATGGCAAATGAGCCGTCAGATGAGAAAACAGACCTTATCGAAAAACTGTACAGTGCAGAAAAGTGCACTTGAAAGTTGGCGAGTTTACCCACTGGTGCGTCTGGACAACCAAGCTACAAACCGTCTTATTTCAGTCAAATATCGGTCTTTTGGGACAATCCAAGTATGTAAATCGAAGAGAAAACTCCAAGGAATCCAATGCAGCAAGCGCGATCGTGGCACGATGCTGCGTTCCCGAGATGCGAAGCCTGCAAGATACGTCACGGCACTTTGCATTTCTACACGCGAGTCAAACGCTCCAGACCAGGGATTTCCCCCTTTTCAAGCAATCTACGATCTCGGCAACAGGCTCAGTCAGACGTCTTGGAAGCGCTCACTGCATCTTCACGAAAAAAATTGGGCGTCCTGGGATAATGGAGATGGAAATGGCGAGCGATTTTCGTGTGACGGCGCAAGTCTAGCGCTGAAGCGATGTCTGAAGCTTGTTGCGCTGGAGCTGTGCTTTATTTGCTATCGGATTTGGGCCCAACGGGTTGCTTGTAGCCAGAGCTTTCCAGAAAGCCCAAGTTTGTTGAAATCGGTCAAAGGAAACAGAAAATATTATCCAAAGTAGGTGAAACAATTGTTGGTATTGCACCCAAAATTGAGGTGCAATTTGTAATGGTCTCCTACTGTCGAGGCTATAACTTTACTTTCCCTGGTCCAAATCAACTCTAGTTTTCTGCATACGATTTCTGGTGCTCCTGGCAATCAGATAGCACCACAAACAAAAATATGACTTTTTTGTGATAAGGTCTGTTTTCTCATCTGACGGCTCAAATATCAACGAATTCGATATGTAAAAATTAAAGGTTTTGTAAAGCTGGTAGAAGGAACTGAGATTAGTGAATGGCGGAGAAATGGAATGAATTAGGTTCGAACAAATTTATGCATCCACAAAAACTGGTCAATGCTAGGGGGGGGGGGGATTCCTCAGTCTACGGAAAAATGGGGGGGGGGGGCATGAGATTAAGAAATACACAAAAAAATAGCACGTGTAAAATACGTAAAATACTGTGCAGCATAATATTTGTAGATATTTCGGTGAATTCGCGGCAATAGAGGGGGGGGGGGGGGGACTAGGACATTCAGCAGACAGCACAAACAGGCCTGGAATGTACGCAATACTCACGTAGGCGGAAATCTAACTATGACGCCATTGAATACAAACATCACCCCTTAGTTATACTCAAAAACAGTCTCAAGGAAATAATACCCGTGTCGAAATGGTTGCCTCTGTTCCAGAAGGCAAGGGCAAGGATATCCGTCCCGTCCCATCATCAGCTTGAGGTTGCACACAGGACATGTACCAAACTCTGGGATTCCATCCACCAGCTATTGAAAGGGTTGTGAGAAGTATGTGTATGACTGCATGGATATGTACAACACCATACCTAACGCCGGCGAGACCATCTGCTGCTTGTCCACAGGGCAAACGACCAGGCCAGGTCTTCCACCACTCTTTGCGTATGCATGATGACATGGAGGCCATGTACACACGTGCAGCTTGAGGTCTCTCATTGCCAGCGATCAGGTGCTGTCAATGATGACATCATGTAGCCTCTTGGCATCACTTGGCTTGGCATCACTTGAACTCATTATGACATCATTGATCTGGCCCGGCACGTCATAACTCGGCCTCTTCCGGGTCAGCATGGCCCTTACCATCCGTAACCGTTACCTCGGCTGGCATGGACGGCGCTCGGCTGTAGCGTGGGTCGATCGGCATCTCGTAACCAGCGGACGGCGAGCCGACGGTGTTGGCGGTGCATAGCATAGCTGCACCAGGCGGCGCAAACTCATTCCTGGGCCGGACCGGTGAGCTGAGGTGAGGCGGGACGTATCGGTCGTCTTCGTCGTTGTCGCAGGATTCCGCCTCGAGAGCCTTGGCTGCTGCTGCGGCTGACGGCTGTCCAGAGTGTACTGATGGAGTGTCACAACTGCTGTTCGGTGGTGCATGCATGGACTGACCAGTCGCTGGCCGTCGCTCCGCCGTCGGTCTCGGGATGCTCTCACCACTGTACGTGTGGATGCTGGGTGAGCCGTATCTGGCCGTGCTGGTTGTGCCGCCATTGGTCACCGTGGTGATCAACACGGCACTGCCCGCCGCTGAGCTGGGTTCGAGGGTACTGACGTCGCGGTAGATTGGCATGGCCATGATGTTCTCGTACAGCTGGTTGTTGCTCTCGCGCAGCATGCGCTTGATCTGCGAGAAGTGAGGACGCTTCTTCGGATCCTCTTCCCAGCAGGACAGCATCACGTGGTACCTGCAGAAATAGACGAACATGAAAACGGAAAAAAATTCCTCGGTCAGTCAGTCTTCCGATGAACATAGGGCTAGCTCCAGTTTGACTGAGCAAATACTCACCAGTAGCTCAGCTGATCAATGGATGTATATGTATACAGGTGGATGTGGCTGAATGCTTATTGTGATCAGCAATACTGTAGAACAGGTAATTTTAGCGACTATTAAATAATTTTAGCGTTTTCCCATTGTCAACCGGTTAGCGACGTTTTATTTTAGCGATTTGCAGCGATTTTACTCACGGATCACCAGTGCACTACGACTCGTACTATGTCTCAACAGATTAGCGACTTGAAACTTTAGCGAAAATGAGTCGATCGCTAAATTCGCTAGGGTTTTTACGTCGCTAAAATTACCCGTTCTACAGTAAACAATAGCCTAGAACTAGATGGAGATTACTGCAAGCAGATTGGCACACAAGATACTACCAATCGTTTCTGGCTACACCGTTGGGCAATGAAAAGTAATACGTGCTGGGGTTGGGGGCTGAAATCCCTCATTCATCTATGGCGAGCATGTGAACAGTGCTGATGCCAACAGGTGGTGGGAGGTGAGAGCAACACCAATAGTCACATTTCACACATCGCATGTCACTTTCTGACTTTGTGTTCCGCTGTAACACAGTTTTACCCTCTGGTTGCCAGGTGTAACCCTGCTTCTTTCTCTTTTCTCTCCCCTCTTGTTTACTCTCATCCAAGGCATTGAGAATACCCTGTGGACCCAGTATTCTGCTGGTTTCTATCAACATTAAAATATACACAAGTGATAGCGTTTTTAGGTGAAATCCAACCTCTTCACCACAGTTATACACACCTCCAGTACCCGTTAGTCGTGTTCGAATGTGTTGTTGCTGGTTCGATCCTGCCGCATATGACAATTTGGATTGTTTCGCATGTAGTGCAGTAAGTGTGTGCGCATGCTGCGCTTGTCGCGATCTCGTTTGCTAACGGATCAGCAGCTAAACAGACGGGTACCCTGATCACCCCTTTCACCCCTAATTTCATATTGCAACACTGCAGTATCTGCATTGGTGCCCGGTGATATCCATCTCCTGGAAGCTTGCAAAGCTGTCATCCAGTGATTGGATTTCACCTTGCAACTTTGTAGTATAATCATGCATTGGTGCCAGGTAAAATCCGAGCCCTGGAGGTGTGTATAACTGTGGTGAAGAGGTTGGATTTCACCTAAAAACGCTATCACTTGTGTTTATTTTAATGACTCTGAAAAAACTCAATCTCATTCGTCTGAGTTGCTTTTTTTCTTTGTATATAGCTTGCAAACAGGTTACACAATGCCACGAGTGTTCTTCCAAGTCCAACGGAACAATTCCAGAGCTGTGTGCAGCCTTCCAAAAAAAGTCACAAAGTGTTTGTATACGGAGGAAATACACTACTGCCTGGTGAAGTACATCCCATAGATCTCAGCTTTACACGCTCCGGGAGGCTGGATTTCATCTATAACCATTCTACATGGCATGGCTGACTTACACAGGGTCCGGACAACGTGCTGGCTGTGAGAGACGATGTCCACTCTCTAGATACCTGACAAGATCAGCATTGGCTATACCGGGATAGGGCAGCATGCCTGTAGACATGATCTCCCACAGCAGTACTCCGTACGCCCACTGCACACCGCAATATGTATGAACGCATACGCATATGCACACACACAACACAGACACAGACACAGGAACACACACAGGGATACACATACACACACAGATGCATGGAGCAACACACGCACAACCAACCATGCACATCGACACATACGGATAAAAACACGCAAAGTCTAGGACATGATAAGCAAAGTTGCAACAGGACTTGCCAAACAATACTGTCACAGACAAAAGGGATCTTATCTTTCCGGCTGACAGTACATATGCTGCTCATGGAACAACATGGGGTGCTGGAGCAAGAATACAGGAGACAAGAAAGAGTCTCGCTGTGTTCTTGCTGAAATGTCAAGTTCACGCACGGTGGTGCCCCTCTGAAGTTTCATGCGTGGCAGGAAGAAATCTTCCCAATTCACTTTGCACCGAGTGACATCCCAACATGGAAAATGACTCCATTTTAAGTAAAAAGAAGAAGGAAATTATCGTGTCCGTTCCCAAAGGGAACTTACGAAGGCAGCGAACCCCTCTTTGACTCCATTTTTTTACTCCATTAAATCTCTTCTAGAGGCATTGTTTTGTCTTCATCATGACCTGAGCAGCACAAGGAGGAGAATGTCGTCATCAAAGAAGAGCATCCAGCATGCCACTTACCACATCGCTCTCCAGTGTAAACTTCTGATGGTTGATACTCTCCAGTGCTGTCCACTTGACCGGCATGCGTAGCTCAGAGTTCATGCGGTAGTACATGTCGTCCTGCATGTCACGCGCCAGACCAAAGTCAGCCACCTTCAACACTAGATCAGAGCTTAGCCTGTGCACAAACACAAACACGCACGCACGCACACACAGAGAATACATGAAAGGAATTATAAATCTCATGGCCCACATACTGTATTGCGTATAAAGTAGTGTTGAAACGAGCGTATCTATAACAAACGAGCGATCAGTTCCACTAACGAGCAACCTATCGAACGAGCTAACGAGTTTCATTGATGTGGCAAATATGATTTTTTGAATAATTTTTTTTCTAAGTTCGATTTTTTCAGCTGGTGCAAACTATCACCGCCGGCATTTGGGGTTGCTGCTGCTTCACTTCGGACTGCTGTTTGGTTTCGAGATGTCTTTTCAGCGCCGTCGTCGAGTAGCCTTTGTAAGAATAGACCGTTTTGCAAAGATTGCAAGTAGCCCTGGTCTTCGCTGCATCGCGGGAGAAAACGTCCAAACGACTGAGCGTAACTTTCACTCGAATGGAGAGGTGACCGAAGCATATCCTGCGACAGGTCAGCAGATGCGGAACAAGACATCAGTAGAGTCCACCAAAGCTGCAACGACAACTGAAACAACTCAAGTGTCGTGCAGGCATACAGTCACTGTAACTGCGAGTGATTTTCACTTTGCGCGGGACTGGACTCTCGATCGACCAGGAAGTCGTAAAATATTTTACGACTCCCCGGTCGACATATACTGCCATGTGTACGGAGTACGGTGTTCGTTAGTGCAAACGAGCTGGCCGCACAAACGAGCTGAGTTTCTGGCGAGCGAGCTAACGAGTATCCGGTGAGATCGTTTCAACACTAGTATAAAGTCAACAAATATTCGGCGCATATAAATTTTCGGCTATTTTCGGCCTGGGCATATTGGGCCAAAAAATTGCTGCGGCCAAAATTTTGTTTTTCAAAGTATAGTGTGACAGTGTCTGGCATCAGCAGTACAGGCCGAAAATATATTGCGGCCGAAATGTGCTTTAGCCCTGGGAGGCCGAAATTTGAACGGCCCGAACACTTGTAGACTTACGATAGGAGCCAGTGTCAGACTGACTTTCCAAATCTACACAAAAGCGACTATCCGAGAGGGTGTGTGTGTGCGTGCGTGCGTGCGTGCGTGTGTGTGCGTGTGTGTGTGTGTGTGTGTGTGTGTGTGTGTGCGTGTGTGTGTGTGTGTGTGTGTCAGATGGAGGTCCCACAGTCATGAACAAGAAAACCACATGTAACTTACAAGCAATTTCTTGCTGCAAGATCTCGATGCACAAAGTTCAACGAGGCTAGATATTCCATGGCGTTTGTGACTTGAATGCTGAAGTTGAGCAGCTGTTGATAATCAAGCGGCTGAAAGAGCAAGAGAGGAAAACAATAATCAGCTTAGCTGACATACATGTACACGCAGATCGTTCATGCAGGGCTTTCAAGGCAACAACATTTTCATGAAGATTACAACTTTTCTTTTAATGTGCGCTTACAGCTTTTTAAAAGTATTGATCCTCATGTCCTCCAAAGGGCACATCAATTTTAGGCCTTGTTCATTTGTACAACAGTACATAAAGTGTCTGTTGAAGGTGAACATTCATACCGTCTATTTTTTCTTGTCCTCATTAGGTTTACTATGAAGAGTTCGATAATTGCAGAGTGATTGAGGAAGAGTAGGCCTGTTCTAGACCACTCTTGGGCGTACGTAACATTCTATAGCCCCATGCATATGATCAAGCATTACAAGGGATGCACTTAGTGTGCGAAGAGTGCTCAAAATGCAGCGGAGGCAGAGCGTAAAACAGTGGACAGAAGGGCTCTGTGATTGCAACTCGTAGTTTCATGCACAGCCCTGCAATCATCAGGTCTGATGGTTACACGGTGGTGCACGAAACTCATGAAACTCCAAGTTGCAACCGTAGAGGTTTCTGTCCACTACTTGACCAGACAAGCACAAAAAAGGCTTGGTTATAAACGAGATGGTCATAAATCACATCATGGTTAAATATCACAAATGTCGATTCAGCTTGTCCTATTGATTGCGGTTATCAAAATTAAAGGGGAACTACACCCAAAAATCAAAACTTCATGGTCCGTAGAGTTTTGGACGCTGAGTCGAATGGTGAAGGTCCCACTTCGATCCGACCAAGCGTTCTTGAGATATATCAGTTTGCAATTGTCCTTTTCGGGTCCGTGCCGTGACGTCACAAACCCGTGACGTCATTGAGACTTGGTGATCCTTTGGCCAGATCCAGAAACACTGGGATTTCGCATCTTCTTTCTGTTTGTCCATGGAAGAAGAGGGTATTTGTGTCATCATGGCTTCTGGCTGTGTTGTTGGCTACTATAATCTTACTGGTAACCCCCCTGGGATGAACCTGCACCAATTTCTGAAGGATTGTGCTTGGCACAGGCCGAGCAGTGCACCATAGCAGCTATCAAGCGACATAATTATTTGCTTGACAATTTAGGGACTACAATGTAAATCCTTCGCGTGTGTTCCAGCCATTTGGCAGAGGAGGATTTTCAGGAGGAATATTATGGCACTCATCCGATGCGGACGCTGGTGGATGAAACTGTGGTGCGTCCTTTTTCGCACGCCACACTGTGAAGTGTCAGTCGAAAAGCGGAGGTGAGTGCAATATTTCAAAAACACTAGCTACTGTATGTAGTTCTTTCTTTTCCAAAGCATTTGTAGAATTGTTTTGGACTACATCACTACGAAATGTGAAGCTTTCCGAAACCGGCCTGATGAGGTGGACGGCAGTAGATCTCCTGTTTCCCTAGGCTATGCTGCGTGCGATCGATGAACCTGTCTGCGATTGCTGTTCTTGATTTTACAGGAAGAAGATCAAGAGCGGCTGTACCATCGGTCGCAGTGACTCACTGTTGAGCTACGACCACTGCCACCGCCCCAAGGTTATAGGAAGGACTGTTTGCAGCGCCAGCGCCTCTAGCTGGCATGTTTTTTTCCTGTATGAACACACAGTATGTACTGCTGATAAGCTACATCACGCAATGACCCGCAGTTCAAGGAGAGAAGATAGTCCACATACCGGCAACGGTGTACACCTATTCGGGAACTCGTTGGGTTTTCTCAGTATGGATGCAGATGAGAGCCAGACATTATTATTATTGTGTGTATGCGTGCAAGCGCGTGAGTGTGTGCGCGCGCACGCGCGTGAGTGTGCGCGCACGAGCGTGAGTGTGTGCGTGCGCGCGCCCGTGCGCGCACGTGAGTGTGTTTGCGCGCACGCGCGTGAGAGACAGACATTATTATTATTTTGTGTGTGGGTGCACGCGCGTGTGTGTGCGGGCGCACGCGCGTGACACTGAGTGTGTGTGCGCGCGCATGCGCGTGAGTGTGGGTGTGTGCGCGCATGCGCGTGAGTGTGTGTGTGTGCGCGCACATGCGTGTGCTTTTGTGTAATGTAATATAACATTCCAAATATATTCACGTCATCTATTCTGTGTTCTCCTTTATGTCATTCTCTCCCCATTTGCGGGAGGGACATGGAATGACAAGTAGTGGATGCATTGCCGTTAGTGATCCTGAGGGATGTGTGGGTATGCAACCAAGTGCATGAGTGCGCGCATGTGTGCGTGCACGAGCATGTGCACAGGCACTTGTATGCTTATGCACTCGTGTGCGCACGCGCTTGTGAAATTGCGTGTCTGCGTGCGTGAGCATGTGTGACTACTATACTATGTGCCCACCAAGGTGAGCACATGTGCGTGCGTGTGTGTGGGGCGCAGGCGGATATGTGCACACATTTTAGAATGATAATCAAGGACAGAGCTGTTCCGGTAATGCAGTCATGAGACACCACAGTAGGGCAAAACGCACTCAATATGCTACTGTGCTGCTGCTGCTGCTAGAGTGCACAGCGTAATTGTTGGTACACAGCTACGTGAAATACAAGAGAACGTCTCAGCATTCTGTAAAGACTAAGTGATAATGCAAAAGGTGAGAATGTATTTCGCCACAATACGAATTGAGTGCAGTCCACTTATGTGAGATAAAGCACAAGTGAACCGATACACATTGCACGACTTGCACGGAGATAATGCTAGCCATGTTACGCAGCAAACTCCATGTACAGGAGTACGAGTGAGGAGACTATTGATCTGAGTACTGTGCGAATACAAAATTTCACACAATTTACGATATGAAGAGAACGATTCGATTTGTGAGCATTACGTAGGACTATACTGTGAAAACACTTACGGATTGTCAGGGTTGTCTGAGCTGCTTTGGCTGCCGCTTCATTTCGAAAAAGCCCAGCCAACCGGTTGCCAGATGTTGCTGATGGAGAGCGACTTCTCCAATTGCAGTAATTTCTGCTTCATCCACATTTACAGCCCGATTGGAAGCCACCGCTTGCGCTGCCATATCCTTTCCTGAAAATTTCGGCTCATGCCCGAAGCCAAACATTTTCAGCTCAGGCTCTGAGCTTTCAAGCTCGTCTGATACGTCGGAATCGCTCATGGTGAGGACGTCTTTGTCAGAACTATTCCTTTCACATACGAAAATACCTGTACTTCTGAGCTTGGCCCAGGCAAGCAAGTCTCAATGACGTAGAAGGGTGTGTTGGGGGTGTGTCGCGGCCGCATGACGTCATGGCGCGTCCCCCGAAAGTACAATTTAAACCGAAGATATCTCAGGAACGCTTGGTCGGATCGAAGTGGGACCTTCACCATTCGACTCAGCGTCCAAAACTCTACGGACCATGAAGTTTTGATTTTTGGGTGTAGTTCCCCTTTAAATATTGCTGATAAATGAGTGTTATTATCATTGACATACCGCCCAAATGTCTATACCCCAGTACCCTGGAAGATACACACCGCTACCTACCTCTGACGTGGGAGACACCGTAGGGTTGTGATCATTCAAATACGTGTGCAAGTCGCCATTGGCCATGAACGGGACAACGATCATAGGAGCTTCGTTAGGCTGGAAGCACACGCCTGCAGAGAATATTACACACACACAGGCACACACAAACACAGCGGGGAGAACGCGCGCACGCATGCATGCATGCAAAAACAAACATACAAACACGCATACACAAAAAAAGAGCTGGATTATTATCGGATAAGATAAACGACGAAGGAAATGAAAACTGCACTGAAACTGAACTTCCCACATCAGAGCCAGCCGTCAGCCACAACAAACTAATGAACCTGAAGGGAACTAGGGATGTGACCTACTCTAGCACACCGCAGTAAGCAGATCCCCCGCTACCTTCAGCAGCCAAATATGACAATAAAGGCACTGGCTTTGGCATGGCTCGACCAGACAAATTTCCCCAAATTCTCCTTGCTTTCGACCACTGACTATAACACGACTGAGCCATGGCAAGATTCTCTTAACCAATATTCTGCTACACATTCAGAAAAGGAATCCATTCAAGGTTATCAGTGCCTTCCACACTGATTCACCAATGAGCATCACCAATTCAGAGTCTCCCAGCTAGACCCTTGCAAAGGAAGGAATGAGGGAGCATCCTTGCTGCAGTCATCAACCAATAGTTGCCCAGGTGCTGACTTAGGATGACATAAGTGGATATGCTGTGAGCGGTACAAGTGTCGGGGATGCGCGCGTAACTCTACGAATGTCACAGGGGAAATGGGGTATCACTGTTGTTGGGTACGAAAAGGTTGTAGAACGTACGGGAGGAGGTACCTAACACTGTGAAAGCAAGCTTAGGAAGTCGCGCACATGAGTACCATAATCTACAGATTGCACAAGGTAATATACTAGAAGTTACTTTCAACGGTAGAAATCACACCCCATTGGTTGCCAGTTCTCCAACCAAGGCGCTGGACCAACCTTGAAAGGAGTGCAATCCCTGTCAGCTGTGGTATATGATGAATACAGCGCTATAGACAGGGACACCCTGCACCCAATCTACCACTGCGTACTGCACTATAGGGTCACAGCGCTTCTTGCACTGCATCTCATGCCCACATCAAGGGATGCCGGAAGATAGTTCAGGAGTTCTGACAACTTCGGCAGCTCACCTCTAAGACAGAGTACGTTAGGGTGATGGAATTTCTTCATATACATGGCTTCCTCCAGGAACTTGACGACACGGTCGCTGTTTCCCGGATCTGAGTAGATGGAGCATAACAATTGGATCAGGCACACCAACATCCGCGCACATGATGTACACAGCGACACGCACAAACGGACACACACACACACACACACACACACAGAGCACGCACAGAGTACATCCCAGATCAGCACATAAATCAGGTCTCAAATAACCTTACTGCAAACAAAGCAGTTTTACTAAACATGCAACTACTTCCTCCGCGTCATTAAAATTGTCGCTTCGCACATCGCAATATTTGAGACTTGGCTCGTCTTAGTCAGACTGTCGGAATCGCTGTTTTCTGTGTTCGAACACTGGTGCGACCCTTCCTGCGCAATGTCGACTTGTCACTGAAGCCGTGGTGGTCTCGGACTTTGTCGGAGCGCTCTTCCGCACCAAGCAAATTCATCACGCTCCGCACTATTCCGCCCCAGAGCGCATTTCGTTTTCTGGAGTTTGTGCCGTCCAACATCGTTCGCGTGGGCATATATCAAGACTGCAAGCTCGGGTATAAGAATCCTGGTATCTCTCCTGAATACGAAATGCTGAAGTTGACGATGGCAAGAACAAAGCGGTCTCAAATTCCTAAAATTCGCTACTTGTGGCGCATGTGGCTGCGAAGGCAGCAGGTCTGGAAACACCAACAAAATCAGCGAAGCGCTTGCCAAGGAAAAAAGGTGCGAAACTGCTCACCCTATCCCGCTGGAAGGTCGTTACAGTGTACTTGAAAAATGCTAGCTTGCCTTCGTCGCCTGCCACCGGAGGCATGGATAGCTTGAAAACGAAGTTTCTTGACCTGAATTTGACCACCTTCTTGTTCAGCGTATTGTTGAGTGCTGAAGGGTCTGCCTCAAACTCTGATGAAGACGTCGACCTTAGCTGCAAGTGTAGAGAAGCGGGGGGCCACAAACTAAAGCTTGGTCCGTCGACAATGCTCTGCCTCAATTTCTAGCTGATTTCTTTGCCCTTCGAGTGGACAAAATAAATTCGAAAAATCGCTCTGGGAAGCGACAATTTTAATGACGCGGAGGAAGCATTATTATTATACGCCTTCCTGCGTTGAAGTGTAGCAGCAGTATGCTGCGCCCCCAGCTTCACTTATGCAGAAAGGCTTGGGTGAGAGGAGACGGGCTAGCATGCAATATGATGCATAATTCAGTTTGACATTGTAATAGCCTGCCTACCAACATCTGCTGGTGGAAAATGCAGAGATTCACTGGGTTTCTTATTACGAAACGCCTACAGTCGTCGAGACACCCGGAGCAGTGTTTCCTTTGATGCAAATCAAACCAATCTTCTCGTGCTTTATGTTTTTAGTCGTGATAAATATCTAGAATGATTCATTGCCTGATGGTCCCGCAAGCATGACACTTAACTCGCAACAAAGCCTTGTTGAACCATATTTGCACCACAACTGCTGACATCAAGTGCCAGAACGCTTGTAATGCCAGCGGAAATATTGGCGGATGTCTCGACGTCATCGGGCTGTTCTCAAACCTGGTTTTGTATTGTATTTATTTAGAGTAGCAACCTGAACAGGCAAATTGCCTAAAGACAATGGCACCACTGTAGAAAAAGCGAATGAAGAGGAGATGAAAAAAAAACAGAAGTACAAGAGATGAAAAGAACTATTCGATTCTCTTACCTTTCATGATCTTCACGGCCACCTTCTCGACACCGATCAAACCTTCCCGCACCACACCAAATGCACCTGCAAGGACAATGTAATGAACAGAGTAGGAGAATAATGAGCTCCTAGAATCCCAGAGGGTACCAGCAAAATCTTCCTGTGAATCCATACATGGGCAGTAGCCCTTTGTGTAACCCACCATACACACTTCACACACAAACTAGCAAGCGGGGAGTCCTAAAACACAATATAATTCGGATTCAATTTCTTGTATTTCCAAACTTAATGGGGATTCCAGGGCTGCCACGTTTCTGTTGCAAGAAATCTGAACAGGATCCGTGGGTGTCCCCAGCCAGGTGTGGAGGAACAAGGAGGCAGCGCTTCCTTTATAAGGCCACGCATTTGTAGGATTCACAAGAGCCTGAAACGATAGATTAGGGCACTTTCTGGAACAGTCCTAGTAAGAAAGTGTAGATTGTTTTCGTAAAACAATTTGAGCAAATCCGAGAATTCGGAACAAGTGGCAGCCCCGGGATTCCACCAGCTAAATACGATTCCAATGGTATCCTACCTTTTCCCAAGTCCCGGCCAAGAACCAAGTCGTCTATGTCAACCAGGACGTCATCGAACATTGACTGCTTTGGAGGTGCTGTTTTTCTCCTTCCCCTGATCACGAGAAGAGACAACGAGCATAGCAGAAAGTGAGCAGTCAGGCACATAAATATGCATATACGGTACAACCGGAAAATTTGGGTGGAGATTTATTTTCGGTAACTCCTGCACAGGTAATTTTTACCTAAAATAAAACGCCAACTAAAATTCAACCACGCAATGCCACACAGTGTGTAAAATGCATTTTCGGATCTGGAAAACTGGTTTACTGAAATTCGCGCTACCAACCCTTTTTTTTAGAAATACCGAACATATTAGACCATCGAAAATTCTCAGTTTTACAGTACATCACTTGTTTCTCCTCGTACGTCTTCTAATACCAACACACTCCTATACTGGGCGGAGGCAAAGCAGTTATGTTTCTCTTCGGCACCCCAATCAAAACAACAACCAGCCCGCAAGTCATTTCGACAGCAAGCCAGCCAGCCAGCCAGCCAGACAACCATCAGCAAGTCACACAGTTTATTTAGTCATACTTCAAAGTACTCGCGCCAAGGCGAGTCATTTCCTTTTCAGAGATCCTGACTTGACCCCCTTCCAATACGCAGTTGCAACCCCAAGGTATGTGTCAGATCCCCATACAAAAGTGGCCTTTGCAAGATTTCCTGAATGCATGATAAACACATGGTCTGTTGGTTGTGATCACCTATGCAAGGGACCACTTGTCATTCAGGCAATTGGACTCCTACACAGGTGGTCCCTCACAGAGGTAGTCTTCTATACAGGTGGTCTCTCACACAGGTGGGTTTCTACACAGGCGGTCTCTCACAAAGGTGGTTTTCTACACAGGTGGTCTCTCACACAGGTGGGTTTCTACACAGGTGGTCTCTCACACAGGTGGTTTTCTACACAGGTGGTCTCTCATACAGGTGGTTTTCTACACAGGTTGTCTCTCACACAGGTGGTCTTCTACACAGGTGGTCCCGTACACAGGCGGCATAAATCATTAGAAAATGACACGGCTAGCTGATGCTGATAGCCGTGCAGTTCAAAATCGTCTACCATGACGCGAAGCGTCAAACTCATCGTGCAGCAATAAGACTCAGCCGGGGCTACAACATGTGACTTTCTTGAGAGACGCCTTCGATCTGGGAGAATGTCCTTTGAGTGCCCTCGTTTTTGTGTTGCAAGAAATTTGGCCGCACTAGATCCTCTACGACAACGGCTATCACTTTGCGACTGCATTGCGAGCAGAGCCAACATACTTGAAGCTGCCATTCTCCAAACAAGCCAAGAGACCATCAAACTACTTCCGGCAAAACAATCCTTTTGCTATTGTAGTATTGAGTACGTATTGGGATATCGATATTTCCTCAACATTCTGAGATAGAACATTTTTCAATTTCCCCGCGCCACACGCTAGATCACGTGGACCAGGGATTCGTGAAATACCGGTACTTTGCGACTCCACGCTAGTATGGTCCGGCGACGCGTGCAAAGATTTGCAAAGTCTTGTGTGAATCTGGTGGGCGGCTTGTCCACTTTGGCACAAATGTGTCATCGTGCATTTACACGTCGTGTGAATACCCTATAGACAGTATACACACGTTGGCGGTCAACAGGTTGGTCCGGCCACGGCCTGACCAACTGGACCGGTTCCGCCGGAGGCCTGGGATAAGAGAGCAGCAGTGACCGTTGACCTACCTCCAGTGCTTTCGCCCGTACACTTCTAGCTTGATGGCCATTATGACAACCAGGACGATCAAAGCGCCCAGGCCGATGATGATGCCAATGAGTGCACCTACGCTGAGGCCACCATCACCACCGCTTGAATCCTACATGACAAACGGGAATGGGGAGTAATGAGTAAAAGACACAATCAGACAGATAAGCACAGGAGAAATAAAACGCACAATGTCGTTTTCGGTAAAGAAACCGCTCGCCAGTATTGTGAACAAGACGATTCAAGATGTTTAAACATGTATATTGGCTACATTCCATTCATCTTCCTCTCGAACCAATGAACATTTCATTCAGTGATTTTTTTCGGTGAGCAACAGGAACACTCGCTGACCGTCCATGTTAAACCAGCCGCACAGTGGTAACAGGGCTGGAGGTCTGTTGCAATACTAAATGACCAGGTTCAATCACCGTGACTACTCCTTTTAGGCAATGCAGCTACACTCACACCTCAGTTATCTGGGCCCCAAAGGTACGGGCACTTCGGTCTACCGGGTACCCTTTGGGCGAGTTTTAGTGGAAATAATGTTATTAGATAACTACTCTTTTGTCACTTTTTGTGGCAATAGTGACGTCATGTGCCAAATCTATGGCATGATTTCCCCATCAAAATGTATGTGATTTGGAGTTACGGACATTTCAAAGTTACGGCCAGTGCTCGGTCCCGGACCGCCCGGATAAACGAGGTAGTACTGTCTAGACTACGAGACACTGTCACCGACAACTATCTCTTATTGGCGATGGTGCCATCGGGAGAATAAAGAATTGAAACAAACTGTACTACTTTCGAAAAAAGCTATGTGAAGCATTCGTCAAAATATCCAATTTTATTCGTGTGAGATTTTAAGCAGATAATGTATTGAGTGCAATGAACTCACGTCTGTTCCAGGCTGACCCACTGTGGGTGCGGCAGAAGTAGTGGCAATATTGGGCTCTCTGTCTGGTGGTGACGTTGTCGGTGGCACTGTCGTAGGCAGTGTGGTCGGAACAAAGCCTAAAACACACACACAAACACACAGACGCACGCACACACACGCACGCACACACACACACACACACCAACACAATTACACACAGGCACACATGCACATGCACACACACACACACACACACACACACACACACACACACACACACACACACACACACACACACACACACACACGCACGCACGCACGCACCCACGCACACACACACGTTTGCACTCATCTGCTATGGTCATTCTATCAATGCTTAATAAGCCTCAGCTGAGGTAGCCTAAAACTGAGTTATTGATTCACCCGGGGCTAGTCAGGTGAAGAGCTACTGCTGCTAACTACAATGAAACCTGTCTAAGGCGACCGCTCAAGGGACTTTCAAAGTGTGGTCTCTGTAACCAGGTGGTCTCCTTATCCAGTGTCATTTGACTGGAAATAGCATCCCTTGGTCCTGGTTGCAGTGGTCTTCTGGGACAGGCGGTCGCCTTATCCGAGTGGTTGCCTTGACAGGCTTAAACCACTTACCGTAACTCCGATCTCACGAATATGTTAGTGGAGGTGCTAGCTACTATCCAGTTCAGTGCTCCAACTTTTGTGGCTGCACATCATCCGGTTCTACATTGACTTGTCTGTACAGATAGTTTATTGAGTTGCGCTGATGGGGGTTAGGAGAATAAGGAGATACATCTCGCTAATTCTCAAACCTACTGGCACATGTGCCGAAAGCCTATTAGCTATATGTGGCCCTTGTGCCTTGTCGCCAAAAGTTCCCGGCTGACTGTGGTCAGCAGCACCTCTGGAAAACCTGCTCCCAACTCCCAAGCAGGCCTTGTATCATATCTCGCATAACCACACACATCCGGTTCCCTCGCCTATCCGGATATTTTTGTGGAACCGGATGTGTGCGGTTAAGCGAGGTATGATACAAGGCCTGCTTGGGAGTTGGGAGCAGGTTTTCCAGAGGTGCTGCTGACCACAGATGACATAATTATGCCGTAAATTGGTAACCAACAATTTTCTTCCAGATGGCGAGGGATCCGGATAAAAGAGGAGCGGATAAGCAATGTCTGACTGTACCAGACACAGTGGTATAGAGTGTTACTCAGTCACCACCTTTTTCTTTTCTCTTATTATCAGTGGGACCATTGTCATTAGGTTTAGGCCTGTTTTGGAACTCCACTCTAAATAAAGCCAAACAACAACAACAACAACAACAACAACAACAACAACAACAACAACAACAACAACAACAACAACAACAACAACAACAACAACAACAACAACAACAACAACAACAACAACAACAACAACCACCTTAGACCAGGCCTTCGGGCTTGGCGGTGGTGTTAAGTAAACACGTTAACACTATCCTGTGAATTGCACAATCCAGCGGCTACTCACCGGAGCAGTCTTCATGAAACGTCAGCATGACGTCCCCTTGCTGTGTTGCACCTCCATTCAGCGGCACGGACGTGTAGTGTATAGTGGTACGTACACGGGAAAACGTTGAACCGGCCTCGTTGCAAGTGACTCGAAGGTAGCCGACTGCAACGTACATGCACAAAGAAATACCGCCCATGAAACCAACAACCATTCACTGAGTTCTAAGCCTACAGTAGAACTCTGATCAAGACACACTCCCATGGGCAGCAGGAAAGCGTACATCATTTCCCAGTCATGGGGGATGATGCAAGGTTCGAAAGCGGAGGGGGGGGGGGGGGGGGAGATTGGACCCTCCAGCTGAAAAGCGAACAGTTAACACACGGGCATAGTACAGAATGTTCATACTCGTCGCCATGCAGCTGTGGGAACAAGACAAGGTGTCTACTGAGCATGGCCTACCTTCAGTCCCTGGTTTGAGCTGTGATGCGCTGGGCTGGACCGCTACTAGTACCTCAGCATCGCCGGTCAATGTCATCCATGTGATGTTCAGTGTGACATTCTCCTGAACATGCAAACACGAGCCCACACCAGCATGCAAACCCACACACTGTCTTAACCTGGTCAAACACCACAGAAGAATAAAACCTGCCCTAACCTGGTGCACTGGAAACTGTCCTGATATGACAGGAACCCGCTTGATTGGGATGCACATTAGATCCACAGGACTCTGGTGCAGATTTGCAGCCCAGGCCATTCTTATCTGCTCATGTACTACCGTCTATGCACAGCTGAGTGTACTAGTATATCGGTATGCTGAGCCGGGTGAAGTTCTAGCCGGTTCATTCTTCGGCGTACCGTTCTTTGGTGACCAATAGTACTATGGGAAGATACACAAGCCTGCTTAAACGTTCTCAATTTGCTCGTATCAACCACTCTCCTTCAGCCTAGAATTCAGAAACCCAGCATTACTGTAGAACAGGTAATTTTAGCAACGTAAAAACCCTAGCGAATTTAGCGATCGACTCATTTTCGCTAAAGTTTCAAGTCGCTCATCCGTTAAAACATTATAAGTGCACTGGTGATCCGTGAGTAAAATCGCTGCAAATCGCTAAAATAAAACGTCGCCAACCGGTTGACAATGGGAAAACGCTAAAATTAATAGTCGCTAAAATTACCCGTTCTACAGTATCCATGATCAGAGAGCGTGTGTTCTGCATGTGAGTGTGCCAGTAACTCCCAGCTCCACCGACGAGATCTAACAAGAGAGAAACAGCTACATGCAGCTGTCCGGAGATTGAGTAGTACCGAAAAGTACCGCCAGAGCGCCCCACCATCTCGTCCTTTCGTGGCCGCCTTGCGGAGGTGGATTCCTGTCTGTAGGTCATACGACACGGACCTTGTACAAACATTGCACATTGTGCAGTCAATCCGTACCCAGTTTACCTTCGAGCTCCACATAAAAGCATACCAAGTGTGACCTTAGTACCCGAAGGTTCTCACATCGTACAAACTTAGTAGCATTCTGCCATGCGATTTTCTTCCCTTGGCTGTAAAATCAAGGTGGGGTGCTCTCGCGAGACGGGGCGCTCTGGCGGTACTTTACGGTATACCTAACATAGAAGTGGGGTGGAATATACAGTGAAATTGCGTACCTCTGTGCCGACTTCGTACTGCCAGTGCACCTGTCCGTCAATGGAGTTCTGCTGGAAGAGATGACTTGCTATTCTTTGTTGTAGATCATTGACAACATTGTTGATGACTAATTTTCCACCATCAGGACTTTCTAGAGCTGAACGGGCAAAACAACAGTAATTTACAATGTAAGTAGACAAGTCCACAAGGAATGATTCTAGTTCATTGACACCTTTGACCTTTTGAGGCCCATCGCCGGAGGCGATGATAGCAATTCTACGGCAGAAGCCATAGCAACTTGTGCCGGGATTGCACCATTCAACAGCTTGCAAGGCTGAAGAATTGACTGTCACTATTCAGCCTGGTCTACACCATACAGCTATTTGAAGTGACTTTTTCTGGCCAGTGAATCCCTATTTTTGGTCTTTTCATTCCCTTTTCAACTTTGACATTGATTCTTGCCATGATATAGTACAATGTACATGTGTAGGTGCTCTTGTCCATCAATACCACAACGATAGAGGAACCAAAAAAAGTATCCAAAAAAATTTCATTCCGGCCGACCGAGTCTTCTTTTTGAGGGGTTGCCGACCGGAAACAAGCCTATTTTTTTTGTTTTGGCCTTATTCTTTGTCGCTCTCTTCAAAGTAATCCTCTCGCCGATACAAAATAGATCACCTCTGATGAGAATTTATCCCAGTCTGGGTGAACATTTCAATTACTTGTAGGAAACTAGCAAGGTGTGTATCCGCCGTACAGGACATGCACCCATTCTTCAGTAATTTTGTAAAAGCACCGACATGATGTGTGTTAGTGGCTATTACCTCACATCTCATAGAGAAGTCCTAATCATGGTTCACATCCTCTTTCAAGTGCCCAGAGCTAAATGTAGGCCCAGAAATGAGCTACGGTATGTTGTCCATATCAATGGGATTCAATTAGTTATGATCACACAACACTAGAGGAAAAAGGGATTTGTCCCTGCACGTTTTTGGACTAGCACATTTTCAAAGTTGAAGGTGTCAGAGAGAATGTAGCACCAGCAAGCCAATGTTCTGATTCGAAAACGGTCATACTTCGCGCATTAGGTGGAGAGGTAGCAGTGAGTGATAATAATAATATTATTATTATGATCTGGCTAGGGTTAGGAGCACAAATCCGCAGCATGCCAGTACACACTACCAGTGCAAACCATTATGATCCATTGTAAGGTGTGCAGGACTGGTACCGCAAACACAGCTTGAAAGTAACAGTTAATTCGTTCGAATGTGCCTCAACTAACTCATGGGCAACTTACTTGTGTTCAACCCTCGTATTCTGGATGTCTCCTCATCAGAAATTGAGAAATTGAACGCATGCGACCCTGCCATCATCGCCGACACGGCCAGAAGTATAGCTGCGGCCACATCCCGCGTCGCCATCGGCCCTGCCGTCATACACGATTCAGGATAGGATTCCCGTACTATACGCGGGCTGCGCCGATATTCACAGGACTTGCAGCAGAAATCGGGCAACTTCTTCTCGCTGAAAGACTAGAAACAGTCCTGACTGAGTCCTACAAGAAGTGATACAGTATTTCACGTTCACTTGATGCCGGCCTTTGCCCTCTGCCAGCTGCGAACATTTCCTTTTTTCGGAAGGAGATCAACCTCACTTACTCACTCTCTCTCTCTCTGGAGATTAGATTTAGCCTAAAGACAAGTCAGTGTTTGAATATATCTACGATGACTGAAGTCAAATGTTCTCCACAGTCGAGTCGGCACGGTTCACTACAAAAGAATTAGAGTAAATTTTGGCACCAGCAGCTACCAGCCAATGGCGCAGTTGCACTAGTGGGACTTCGGCCGCTCCGACCACACATCCAAGCGCTTCACACTCACACTCACACTCACACGTCCTACGTGCATTGATTCGACTCGAGATAAACCAGCCTGCGCTGCACGCAGAAAAGCGTTCGGACAACTGTCTGTGCCCGTGGACTGGCCGTGGCCTGCAAGCTGGGTGTGTAGCGACTACATGTACGTTGTAGTGTGGTCCTCACTCACAATCAGAGTCAGTCACACTCACTCCGCTGACATGTACAGCGTTTTGGCTGCAGCGCGTAGCGGCTCAGCGCGTTGTTAGTTTATCGTGTAGACAAGGCATGCTACCCGTGTGTAGTAGATCTACCCGAACCTCGGAATCGCTGGGCATGGGGTACTCAATCGTCAATGCATGGCTGGCCCGGCCGAAGCAGCTGACCAAAAGTTAGCAAACAGACTGCACATCAGTCCTGTACTACAACGCAGTTCTGTCACTGGTCTGTCACCGTCAGCCTGAGCAGTCCGGAGCTGCCAACTGTGCAGAAGCCTTTCAAGGTCGACACATCGACTGAAAGCTTTCCCCAATCTGAAACGATGAACTGTCCACGTGAACCACTCGGATCGGAGTCTCTTCTTGATCTTGTGTGCTTGTTTCAAGAATGATGAACGGGAGCGATTTTCATGAACCCATCAAGCATGGAGTTAGCCTTAGCATGCAAACCGTTAACGATAGCATGTCGTTAACTCTGCTAAATCTGTACGAATTTTGACGCTATCAGAAAGCGGATGTATGCAAATGCGTGGGCGATTCAAACAAAGGAAGGGCATTACTAATACTAACAGTGGCCAGTGTCAACGAGGGCCGCAGAGCTGCTGTACACTGATAGTGATGTCAAGACTAGAGACTAGACAGACTGAGAGTAGAGTGGATAGTCTCTCACCATGCTCACTGTCAGAGGAGTTGGCAGTGAAACGACTTGCGTGACTCAGCTTCTCACTTTTTCCAGCTACATGTACATAATAATGTAGCTCCGTTTAGCTGAGCTGTGAACATGGTGAACATGGCGAAAGGGTATGATCCCTACTATTGATCCCTATTTCAAGGCCAAGGGGCGGCAAGGGCTGCATGATCGCCATTCTCCATGTATCATATTCGCCAGGCAGCCAAAGGCAAAGGCACAAAGGTACGAGTACCATTTTTCAAGCTGTGAACGTGAGGTGAAGTCATGTACATGTACCTGCACATTAAACAGACATGTACACAAGTCATACATGTCCATGACATTGTATTATGTAGATCTACAATCATGTACTGTACATTCTCACAACAGTGAACACACTTCATTGTCTTCAAAACAAAAAGGCTTTCTGTGCTACATGTACATGTACATGATTGTATACCGATTAATCCGAATTGGAATTAATTATTTCCATGCAAATTCAGATCCATGTACATGTACATGTATGTACATGTATTGACGGTCTCTTGATGCATAAGGCAGAACAACAGAGACCAATAATCATTATCGTGACTCAGAGTTTCGTGACGAATGTCTGAGGAGTGTTTATTTTTTCACACAACACTAGCAGTCGCGATAACGATACCGGTCTCTGTTGTTCTGCTTTGTGTAGTACATGTACATGTACATGTACATACGCTCTGCCCTTGTTACAGCATTGAGCACCATTTTTGCAGCAAAGATCTGACACACTTTGTTCATCTCGTGATGGATTGGTGTAGCTCGGAGACCGATATCTGTGAGTGCTGTGAATGTCAGGATGTACGTGTACATGTACATGATGGTTAGTTACACGTGCAGCACAGAATTCTCTCTCTCTCTCTCTTGGATTTTAAATACCAATATTGCAATATTACGTGTACATGTACGTGTACATGTAACGACAAACATCAGTTACGTTACATGACTGTAGTACTAGTGTAATAGAAAGGACAGGATCGATGTTGGGCGAAAAGTTGGAAGGATTTTAAAGATTTTGGAGAGGTTTCTATTTTTACATGTACAGTCATGTACAGTGGTCCCTCTATAATCCGGCACCATTCGTGCTAGAGAATTCTGCTGGATTAGGGAGGGTGCTGGATTAACAGATTTGATCTACTGTTGCTATGTGCATGAAGAGGACATTTTTGCTAATGAAAATTATGCTGGTTTATAGAGGGTGCTGGTTTATAAAGTGCCGGATTAAAGAGGGACGACTGTATATTTTTGTGTAGCCTAGGACTTCGTGCGGCTGTGTGCGGTAGAAGTCAAATCAACATGATTGATCATGATTGTGCAGATGAACCAATCCAGTGAAAGGGAACTGAAGTGGACAATCAATGGATTCCCTTCCGGGTGTATTACATGACTGTACATGTACATGTACATAACAGCACCAGTCCTAATACTTTTTTTTTTCGGGGTAACGGCCTCTTTTACGGGCAAAATAAAGTCATGTAGACGTGAAAAAATTGAGATACCATGAAAGTTAAAATAGAATTTTATTCAAGTACAATACATTGGGAAACTCCAAGAAATTCCACGTAAAACAGTCCTAATACTAGTACATGTACGGACAGTAGACCCAGGTGCTCGAAGTCCGTACACTTTTACAGTGTGTGTTTGCCGAGCTGAAACTCACACTAGCAATGATCACTTTCCAGAATCCTGCTCGTGGATGGGAGGTATCTTGTCCAAGTTTGTTCTGAGGCCAGGCTCGATTGAACCAGGCCATCTTTCGATCCGATCTGTTTCTCTGGAGGTCGCTGATTTTTCATATCAAATTTTTGTGTCGCAGAGGGTACTCTAAGTCCGTACTGATCAGAGGTGACTCGAAATACGCACATATTTCTGCTAATTGCTAACTTGCAATCCCTCGGTTACGACGAAAGAACCGAAGGGATATGTTTGGCATGTGCCTCCACCAGTATTTCTTGCAAAAGCGTAGTTTGTTGCGGAAATGCAAGCTGTTTTTAGTCGGCTCAGAGAAGAAGCAGCTGCGCTGTGAAAACCGCGGGAAAATAGGTAGGCACATGTAGGTAGGTACATTTTTATTTGAATTCGCAGAACCAAACGGGCGGTGTCGCCCAATTACATGGAAGCGAATGGAAACAGTAAAATATTGTAGGAAATAGCCTAACATGATACTAGCAGGGTGTAGTTCAAAGCAAAGAACGCTCAGTCAATGAATAACGTTAACGTTAGAATACAACAACGGGGAGGCGGTAAACAGCACATGACTGGTACTGTGCAAACGTTCAAAGATTCCTGTAGTGTTCAGTAGTGGGTGCTACTGCTAGCAAGACAGAACGGGAGGCAGGCTTGTTTGAACTGGTGGTACTGGGTAATACCATAATAGTGGTGGAGATGCCAGGAGTGTCAACCTTTCTGCAAGGATTGGTGGTTCTCTGTAAATTCTTCTCCTCTGGCCATTGTCAGCTCTAAGCTGGCTTTTGATGATTGAGTGAAGGTCTGTTTGACGCTGTGTCCGTTCGAAATCGGTTTTGGCAAAGTTGATTTTTGCATGAAATGTAACCCAATTTGTATTTCGTATGGACACTCGAAAACCCACTCGCGTGGTATGGGACTTCTGCTTATCGTAGATCCCTGAAAATTGCTACGCGAGGAGAACATACCACACTATCCCCTCCATAAAATATTTGAGTCGAATACAATTATTACAGAACATGAAATTATGGGCGTACGAACTTAGGATACCATATACGGACTTCGAGCACCTGGGTCTACTAGTAAAGTCATGGTCAAGCACATTGTAGGAGAGGTGATTCCATTGAAAGCTTCGGAATACATTGACAAACGTGTTCGGACCGTGGTCATAGGGTCCAGCGGATTCTGCTGGCAGAAAAATTGGCAGAATTCGGTACTTTTTCTGGTAAGTTTCATGCATGTTTGGTATTGTGGATAAAGAAATGGAGCAGAATTCGAGGAATTGCCCGCCATAAGGTTTGTATGGTTCTGCCATTTTTACTGCTTTTCGAGCGGAATCCGCCGGTCCCTAGTCCGTGGAGAAGAAATCGGCAAGTTTCCCCCTTTCCTTCCCTCAAACGTACAATGTATGAAGACATGCCTGGTTAATTATTTGAGGTACTTGTACATGACTGCATTGTGAAGAAGTGGTTGGTGCGACTTCGGCGATACTTGGGGAATTCTGTGTTGCTCCCTACGTGGGAGCTTGCGCCTGCCGACTTGAATTCTCACTTGACTGACTCACGACTGCCATCCAGAGCACATGAAATACTGTGTATTGAGCAGGGAGTGGTGCTTTCCTGCAGGTTTGCGGAGTGGAAGGTTCCGATGGACTTCTCGTGTGCTCTGGAAGGCAGTACTCAGTGGTGAGTCAGTCAAGTGAGAATTCCAGTCGGCAGGAAAAGCGCAAGCTCCCACGTAGGGAGCAACACACCACATGACTACATTATACATGTACATGTAGATGTAAATGTACAATTTTAAAATGTACATGACATTTTTGTATGTTGTGGGCTAACACTACACAGCCACACCTCAAATATTATTTTCACTGCTTTGTAGATCTACACTTTACTCAAAATTCATTTCGGTCTACATGTACATGTACATGTACATGTATTATGACCATCATCAACGTACATGTACATGTACAATGTACATGTACATGTACGTTGTCATGTACATGACATGTAAGTACATGTACATAACATTATCATGATGTTCATGTACATGACTGTACATGATTGTACGTTTGCCCAGTAGATCTACTGGCAGTAGTGTGTGCTATCAATCGGCGATCGATTCAGGATCGTCTACTACTACTAGTACTTGACTCTGGTACTGCACTGTGGTTGCAACATGGCGTCATGCCTTATCATTACAGAACTGTTGAATGTTATCAGAGAGTGGCACGGTAACAACGGTACAGATTCGAATACGGAATAGACAGGTGATGTAAGGGACCGGCGGCAAAAGGTGGCAGATTCTGCTCGAAAAGCAGTGAAATTAGCAGAACCATGCAAACCTTATGGCGGGCAATTCCTCGAATTCTGCTCCATTTTTTATCCACATACCGAACATGCATGAAA